TATTTTGTGCGACCAACAGAACAAAACCAAAGATAAAAAAGACCTTCAATTTACAGTGAAATAAAGCAGAAGAGCAGCTTCCTGGTTCAGGGTCCACGTTCTCCAGAGGACCCATGAAGTCCAAACTGAAATGAGACAGTCTGGTCTATAGAAGATTTTCACTGTGCGTCACCAGCTGTTCCCGCCCTTACCGTTGCTTCGCAAAGCGTGGCCCCTGTTGCCTAGCAACCGTGACAACACAACTCTTTTTTTTTTTTCCCCACAGAAACTTTTGTTTTCACTCTCTTGGTTTTAACAGTTTTACCTTTAGCTGTTGAACTGAGCTGAAACACAACACTGACATTTACAGTGTGATACTCAGGCTCTCTGTTACTGTTATTTGCTTTCATTACCAGAGCACAATGCATCTTGGGATATGTTGGACCATGAAGGATCCACCTGTGGAGCCTTGGTTGTCCAAGAAAAGAAGGATGTGTTTGAAATGAGACAGTCTTCAGATGAACCTCTGAAGGATGAGACAATGAACTGAGTCAATCTTCACATTTTAGAAGCTGAAATCAAAAATGTTTGTTTTTGATTTATATAACTGACTGAAGGATTCTCTTATTTTCTGTCAGTTGAACAACGTTAATCAAATAATTGTTTAGCGCTACAATAAGCTTAAGACAGAATATAGACTGAGCTCTTATAGAAACGCTGTGCTCAGCCATCTTTTTCATCTTTTTGCATAATGTAATAAAACAGGAACATTTTGATTATTCAGATGGACACTGGAAAAGTGGATTGTGCTGGTGTTTGAGAAGTTGAAGATGAGATGAACCTTTATTGATCCCCTGTAGAGGAAATTCAAATTGACACAGCAGCTCAAGGGAAAAATATAATACGGAAAATAAAATAAGAATAGAAACAGAATCTTAAATAAATAGGATACATTAGATATGCTATATAGAATAACATAGAAATGCAAGTAAACATTTCTGTACATGTGCAAACATAAAAATGTATAAAGAATTTAGTGGTTGTTGCACTTCATCCGGGTTCTATTGTCATGTACTGATTTGAGTCCTTAGACTGGCGGTGCTGTGGTGTTGTGATTTAATTGGAGATCATGGTTCTCTTGTGCCACTTTAAAAACTGGTAACTATGGGAATCCATTGTACCAACTTGTATTTGCAGCCTTGAACGTTCAGCCTGTGACTGCAGTTCTCCTCCCATCCTGGAGAGGGCAGAGCAGAGACCTGATGTCTCAGGTGGAGACAGGAAGAACAGTGTCCTGCTTTAAGCTCCAGTCAGTTCTAATCAGAGACGATCCCCTCAGCCTCTCACCTGAAGGCCTGACCTCTGTTCACTGAGGGAGGATCAGCTGTTCTGTTGGCGTTTGCTCAGAGGAACAGAGGCAGCAGAGGACGTAGATGCCACTGTTCGCTGTTTGGTTAAATCAGGACCGAGAGTTGTGAAGTGGAGTCTCTGTGGTGAGGACATGTGAGCTATTGCTTAGAGCCTAAGTGTTGGTGAATGCAGCCGAGTCAGTGGATTAGCGTCTTCGTGGTGGATCTGGAGACGTTATCTGGAGGAAGACAGGACACATGAGACGCCTGTCTTCTCTTTGTCCTCCTCCTGATCAGAGGTGATTACACCCACTGCTGCAGGAAGTCATCATCAGCTAGTCTTGTTGTACAAGTGTGAAACGTTAGCATCGTTTGTTCTTCAGCTGGTTACTTTCTGAACACAGCTAGCAAAGCTTATTGGTCGATTAGTTGATTGACAGGAAATTAATCTACCTATTTTGATAATCAACTAACCGGTTTAGTGTGTTTTTAAACTATAGTGTTGAACAATTACGGATTGTAGCTTCTCAGGCAGAAGGAGCTGATGCTTCGTCACACACAGGAAACTGAAGATCTGTGTTTGACTGTTGTTCACACAAAACAAAACATTTGAAGTTGTATTTTTTTCACTGTTTTCTGATATTTTCTAGACAAACCTTTTCATTGATCAGTCAAAAGAATAATTAGCAGATAAAACAATGATGTAAATAAGCCCCAGACCAAAGTGTGATAACAGGTGGTCGTAAGTCCGAGAAAATCAACATGTTTCTTTTCTTAACGAAATAATCACCACTTAATTAACAGTAAAAACAGGAAGATAATTAAGTCTCTACCCTAAAGACTTGCTGTAAACGTCTGATTAAATTGAAGTCCTCCTCTTCGTGGACAGTGACTGTGACTTCTAATGCTCGTTGTAAATATCAGCTGGGTCACAACTTTGTTTACTTCCACTGTGAGCGGTTATTTCCTGATGTGATCTGTATCCACAACAAAAGAGTTCTTCATTCAACACTGATGCACTGAGCAGTTTGGTTTACATGACAAACTTCAGTTCCAAAGCCTGACTTCCAAAAGAGATGTTTTAAATATCTAGAAGTAACAAAGCATCAGCAGGAAACAGCTGTTTGGTGTCTGTTGTTTTCATCTGCATCCTTGTGTCTTGTTTTCTTGACAGTGTAAATGAATTGTGTGTTTTCCTCTGGCTGAAGTGGTTAATAATATTTGTTCTCTACTTTCCTCTGATTTTGCTGCAGTTTTCTGTTTTGTTTTTATGTGGAATCTGGTCTTCAGCTTGAGCTGCTCCATTATGGCAAAAATCCTAATCATGATTATTTTGATCAATACTGAGATTAGGATTATTTAACACAATCACTTATTGCCTTTGAAAACACCACGCATGTTTTGAACTTTGTCCTTTTAACTTTGACTTTCTTTAACTTCAAACACAATTTAACTGAAAAACAAATAAGAAAAAATAGATTAAGAAAATTAGATAAATAAATAAAATAATAAATAATATATATTATCTAAATATATACAATTAAATATATAATATGAAAATTGAAAATTAAATTTTAATCAAAATAAATAAGATAACCCTTTGTTGTAACATCAGTGTAGTTCCACAACCTACTGAAAACTACTAAACATAGATTCAGTATATAGAAATAAAAATAGTGGGGTTGTAGAGGAGATGAAATGTGTTGTGAAACAGAATGCGGCACAATAATAGTTTTATCACGATTATCTTGTCTTCATAATTGTTGGCAGAAAAACTCCTAATGGAAAATAAAATGAGATGAACAACAGCCCTAACATCAGTGTTTTAGACGACAGTTTAACGCGTTAAATTTGAGTCAGGTGTTTCTGTGGCGAGATGTCAGAGCTGTCACGTCTCCTCCACTTGTTCTCCAGCTCTGCAGCAGCAGCTCAGGTATATTATTCACCCGCTGTTCATTTGTCATTGAAAACTTTCCTGTCTGGGGTTTGAATCCTGCTGATTCAGGTGGTTTATTTGGTTTATTCATCACATTCAGCAGCTGGGTGGCAGATTACTGCGACCCCCCAGCTGAAGCCTGTTCCTCTGTCAGGTGAACTCTTCTCTTCTTCAGACTGTGAAAATATTGACAGTAGATGAGAAATACCGAGAATCCGTCCACCGCAGGGCGGGAATACAAGTGGATTCTCACGCTGCTCAGCAGGAAGTGGGGGAGACATGAAACCCCACAGAGCTGTGCAGGAGAGGTTTGTTTTACAGGAGTCACATGGTGCTGGAGCTGCAGTCCTTCCTGCTCTCCATACTGACCAGGACGTCTGCAGTTCAGCTGAGGCCTAAACGAGGTTTAATCAGTTGCTAGACTTTGCCCTGAGTTTGATCTCTCAGGTGGTACTTCCTGAATCACACGGTTGTGTTGAGGTTAGAGCTGTTTGGGTTTAGGTTGATGTAACAGGTGGAGCTCGTTAAGATGTGAGCTAAGAAGACGAGAAACTCCCTCCTCTTTGTGTACAGCTTTGTAAAGAATCTGGTTTGATTTTATTTGCCTGAGCTCTGACCAGCTGATCTATCCCAGAAATACTGTCCCTCCTCTGACTGTCTGACGCTGTTGTTTGCAGCTAGAAAATGAAACTGTGCAGTGAGACTTTGTCCCGAGTTAAGTCTCTCAGCTAGGACCATAAATCAAGTAGATGAGGGAGTTTCAGCCTGAAAACCACAAACACTCTGAAGTTTGACTGTATTTATCCTGAGCTGGTGTACAGTGGATTAAAGCTCCTCGGCTCACTGGAGGGAAGGTGTTGATGTTTCAGTGTAGTCTGTTTAGCTGCTGAGAGTCTGAACTCTGTGAGGTAAAGTCGTCTGGTCACAGCTCTGCATTCACACCTGCTGTTAGTGTTCATATCTCCATTGTGTCTGCATTGTAGTTGGGTCATTGTTATTTTGGCAGATATTGTGGCATGAGTCATTGTGACATGGTTTTTTTCACTGGAAAAAAATGTAAAAATAGATACTTTATTCAACCCCTAGGGGAAAATCATGAAAATGATGATGTGATTTTTGTTCTTGTACAAAACAAACATGTTCCTTTACGTCTGCAGAAAGTTATTTATAGACCGAGGCATCCCTCTTCATTTCTGGTCTGACGTTGTGGCACATTTTACCTTTAACAAAAAACTGCAGCTTTCACTTATCACAGACAGAGATTTCCATAATATTTTGATTAATTGTTCAGCGCTAGTCTTGCTATGGGATATGGGGGATGAAGGGATGTAATAACATATACCATGAGGTGTATGTTACTTTAAATAAAGAGAGAAACAATAAGGAAAAAACTAAAGAAATAATTAAACATATTAAAAAAAAAAAGGATTGATTTTGACTCTGGTACATCAACATCACATCACAGAAGAGAAAATCATCAGTTTCAATCCTCTGGGTTTAAAATTACAGACAGAATAAAACCAATGATGAAGTGTGTTTCAGCTCCAGGCGGCTGCAGCAGACCAGTGTCAGTAACTGTGGTCGGAGCTGTGATGAGTGGAGGAGGACGCAGGTCAGCTGACTGTTCAGACTGGCTCGTCTCCACAGACACAAGTCCTGGAGCTCAGTGTAGACAAACTTGTTTCTGTGCTTCCTGTGTGGTTTAACGTGTGTGTGTGTGTTTATGTGTGTTGCAGCTTTCCGAGAGACAACCTTCCAGTGAAGATGAGACCATGGTCCCAGTACTAACCTCCAGAAAAGCCAGTGAACTCCCTGTCAACGAAGTAGTGTGTGTCCTGCAGGTGGGTGTCCTCAGACCAGAACACACAGCTGTGACTGACTGTTGATGTGTTCACATGAGTGGGGCAGAAAAACAACTTAATCTTCACACCCTGAGGTTTTATTTCAGAAATGGAGACAGTTTGTATCTGACCTCTGGTGACCTTGAGAGGTCATTGACCTCAGCATGACATTTTTCCAGTTTTTGCCCCATTCCTCCATTATATATATAATCATGTGTATCTTTGCTCTGAGCCTCTCTTCTGATTGGCTGACTGATGACAGATTTGGTTCTCTTCATAAAATAAGGTCAGAAGAAGAAGCATTGGAGCCACAATAACGTCTGTGTGACGTATATATCTGTGTTGTGTTGGGTCTGACAGGCCGACCTGCAGCTGGGTCTGACCCAGGAGGAGGTGAGCCAGAGGAGGGCCTACCACGGCTGGAATGAGTTCGACATCAGTGAGGAGGAGCCGCTATGGAGGAAATACATCTCACAGGTAACATGTCAGTCAGTCTGAGATGGAACCTCATCCAGACGTTCCAGCTTTGAAGGGACAGTTCAGGTTCTTTGACATGGAGGTGTATGTGTCGGTACCTGCAGTAGATTGTGTTCAGTGGCTCCCAGTTAGGAAAATGTGAGTGATGTGTTGCTGTGGGCGGGGCCACCAGAAAAAAATGACGCAGCCACTTCGCAAACATTATTTAGTGAGAACAAACTAGACCTTGATTTTGTAAATAGTTGGCTTGTAGGCTATAAACAGTAAGCAACATCTAAAATCACCCTCATTTATAATGAATAAGGAATTATAATGCAGCCTAATAAATGTCAACTGTCTAGTCCAGTACACACACCACACCGGTCTCTGTGAGAGCTCGTAGGCTAGGTCACATCCATGGAACGACTGTAAAAAAAAAAAACAAAAAAAAAAAAAAAAAAAAAAAACCTTGGGCTGTTGGAAATAATAAACAACAACAAAAAATAACAATCCAATAAACCTCAGAGCGAACAGCGACAGCGGCTCTTGACATGAGAGCAAAACACCGTCTCCAGATGCAGGTGTGTGCCACAGGTGCGTCAGGCAGTGCTGTGCGATCACTAATAGTCAATCAATCTCTAATGTAATCTACCCTCACCCCCTCACCCCCTGACCCCTTTGACCCCTGACACGACATATGAAGAAGGAGAAGTACTTACACTTTTCCACTCCAAGAGCTGCTCGTGAACCTAAACAATGTAAATACACGTGACGGTCTGGGAGAGCGTTGTGGCAGCTTTAGGGGGAGCTAGAATGCTGCCGGTCCGAGTGTTAAAGAACTGCTTCAGCTCAGACATGTTCTCAGGATGTGTGATGTGAACATTTGCCTTCAGCTCAGTCCACAGTGTCTCTAACGGATTCAGGTCTGGGCTCTGACTGGACCACTCCAGAAGGTGGATTTTCTTTGTCTGAAGTCATCGTGTAGTAGATTTACTCTGATGTTCAGGGTCATTGTTCTGCTGCATCACTCAGCTTCTCCTGAGCCTCAGCAGGTGACAGACACCCTGACATTATCCTGAAGATACCCTGATAAACGTTAGAATTCATTTGCCTGTGGATGACGTGGAGCTGTCCACGACCAGAGGCAGAAAACCAGCCCCAAATCATGAAGCTCCCTCCACCCTGCTCCACCTGTGGGATAATGATGTTGGGATGTTATCTAATCAACACTGGTGAAGTCTCCTCCTCTGTGTGAACATGAGGCCACTGATGGAGATAAACTGCAGGTTCTTTATTAAACAGAAGAAGAAGAAACCATGTGGTGAACAAGATGGAGATCATATTGTAGATGGTACAGTCCAGTACTGCCAAGTTCAGTTTCTATGGAGTCGTCAGTGTGTAAACTGTGAACGAGCCACATGTTCCATCATGGAAAACACACGTTTGAACTTGGACACACACACACACACACACACACACACACACACACACACACACACACACACACACACACACACACTGGTCCTAACCTCTCTTCCTGTCTCTCTGCTTCAGTTCAAAGACCCTCTCATCCTGCTGCTGCTGGCGTCTGCCGTCATCAGCATCCTCATGCACCAGTTTGATGACGCCATCAGCATCACTGTGGTATGTGTTCGTTCAGTCCTCCTCCCTGTGAAAACACTGCAGACACCTGCTGTTCTTCTTCATGTATTAATAGAAGTAGAATTTGAGCAGATGACAAGACTGAGGTTCACGCAGTGAATTCTGTCTGAGTTTAACAAATAAGAAAGTCAGACTTCATGAGAGCGTTGTTAAAGTTAGTTAAGGATGGCGGAGCAGGTCAGACTTCTCCTCTCTGCAGTGCTTATAGAAAGTCTCATGTTTTATTGTCCTACAACATTAAATAGCAGCAGAGTTAATGTGGCTTCTTTGACGATGATCAACAGAAATATCTAAATATTGAAAAAAATACTTTTTTAAAAATCTAGTTGGTGAACAGAGTTTATACCTGACTATACAACGTACATTAAGTTTAATACATGAAACTGTGCATGTAGTTTAACATGGAGGTTCAGGATCAGAAGATTCACAGAGTCCGCCCCCCCCCCACTCTCTCTCTGTCTGTCTCTCTGTCTGTCTCTCTGTCTGTCTCTCTCTGCCTCTGTCTCTCTCCCTCTCTCTCTCTGTCTCTCTCTCTCTCCCTCTCTCTCTCTGTCTCTCTCTCTCTCTGTCTGTCTCTCTCTCTCTGTCTGTCTCTCTCTCTCTGTCTGTCTCTCTCTCTCTCTCCACAGGCCATCATCATAGTGGTGACAGTCGCCTTTGTCCAGGTGAGTCTGGGATGAGTGTGTCAGTGATTTCAGTCTGTTTATTTTTAATGATCATTGAACAGATGTTTACTGTGTGTGTGTTTCCTGTGTGAAGGAGTATCGCTCAGAAAAGTCTCTGGAGGAGCTCGGGAAACTGATGCCTCCAGAATGTCACTGGTGAGAGTAAAAAAAAAAAACTGACTACACAGTTTGATCAACAAACAGCCTCAATATGAAGTGAAACAGATGGAGGATGGAGGACCTGTTGTAGTTGATATTCTGCTTCAAATGTGTGATTAACCAAAGGATGTAGATCTGAATGATGTGGGGTGAACCGCCCCCACCGTCCCACCCCCCTTCACTGAGGTCACTGATCCAGGTATGTTCTCTGCCTCAGTATCAGGGCGGGAAACCTGGAGCACCTGCTGGCCAGAGAGCTGGTTCCTGGAGACACCGTCTGTCTGTCGGTGGGAGAGAGAGTCCCAGCTGACCTCCGCCTCTTTGAGGTGCGCACACACATTCATACACTCATACACACACACACACACACACATACACACACACACACACACACACACACACACACACTCATACACTCATACACTCTCTCACACATACTCTCACACACACACGCTCATACACACACACACACGCTCATACACTCATACACACACACACACACACTCATACACACACACACACTCATACACACACACACACGCTCATACACTCATACATTCATACACTCTCTCACACACACTCTCACACACACGCTCATACACTCATACACAAGCACACACACACACTCACACACACACACACTCTCTCTCTCTCTCTCTCTTTATCTGTTTTATGTTACTGTCACAGACCTTCATTAATGTTACTTGTAGCTCCAGTGACAGGTGAGTGTTCAGAGCAGGTAACGACTCACCTGGTCTGAGCACAGACACCGTGCTGCTGCATCTCTGACCTCAGCAGCTGATTACAGTCTGAACAGTTAAAGTGAAACCAAACTGGAGGAACTGTTTGCGACAGAGTTTCTGTTTTCAACAAGAACGTGTTTCAGCTCCAAAGGGCGATCAGAGAGACTCGGTAACCTCTCTGTGTCTGCCCCCCATCCCCACAGGCCACCGACCTGTCTGTAGATGAGTCCAGTCTGACGGGGGAGACCACCCCCTGCTCCAAATCCACCTCCCACCAGCCGGCGGCCACCAACGGAGACATCGCGTCCCGCAGCAACATCGCCTTCATGGGGACTCTGGTGCGCTGTGGTAAAGCCAAGGTACCAGCACGAGGACTCAGTGTTTCTTCCTGTGTCTGAAGTCCTGACCATATAAAACATACAGTATAATATAACACACAGCAGGTGATCTGTGTGTAAACCTGTTACTCTGCTCCTCAGGGCATCGTCATAGGAACTGGAGAAAACTCTGAGTTTGGGGAGGTGTTCAAGATGATGCAAGCAGAAGAGGTGAGTGAATTTAATCTGAATATAAGTGAAGGAACAAGCTCACACATCACTAGTCGCCTCTCTCCAATGATCTGGTTTCTGAAACCTCATGTTTGTATATAAGGAGGAGGGGTTTATAATCAATTTTAAATGAATCAGGAAGTCGTGCAGAACAACTACAACTGGACTGATGGTTCTGGTTCACAGTCGAGCTGCAGAGGTTTGAATGAGCTTGAATGTGTTGTTTCAGCAGCTGGTGGCTAACCCTAACCCTAACCCCAGTCTCCAGTGTAGTAATGGCTCTGTTGCTTCTGTTCAGGCTCCTAAAACTCCTCTACAGAAGAGCATGGACCTGCTGGGGAAGCAGCTGTCTCTGTACTCCTTCTGCATCATAGGTGAGTCAGTAGTTCATCAGCCGTCACCTGCAGCAGCTCCAGTGTTCAGTCTGACCTGATCCTCCTCCCTGTGTCTCAGGGGTCATCATGCTGGTGGGGTGGCTGCAGGGGAAGAGGATCCTGGACATGTTCACCATCGGTGTCAGGTAGCCGAGGTCCCAATCAGCTGTCTCTGACTATAACTTACTGATTATAACTAACTGACTGTTGTCATGTTATAGATGTGACAGCTATGTGTTCAGGTGTGTCGGGTAGAACGACTTTGTGTTGCGCACAGGAAGGACTGACTGATGGAAATATGTAATGTAATATGTATGTAATGTAATGTTAAGAGGCTGACACAGACTTCTGCTTCTGTTCTACAGTCTGTGGTCCATGAAGGTAAACTGGTTTACACACTGGGGGAAAAAGGAAGAGGGACAGATAGGAATGGATGTCATGTGTTCTGGATGGATGGTTTAAATAATTAAGGTGATCATCATCTTCACTCTGGTTGCTTGTTGATTGTCTCCTTCAGTCTGGCCGTAGCTGCCATCCCTGAGGGTCTGCCCATCGTGGTGACGGTGACGCTGGCGCTTGGCGTGATGCGCATGGTGAAGAAAAGAGCCATCGTCAAGAAGCTGCCCATCGTAGAAACTCTGGGTACATTACTCATGGCACACCACAGTATCCAGTCCCTCCTGAAAGTTGCGATGTTGGGATCGCAAAAATTAACGCAAACCCAAACTATCCCCATGAATTCTGCGCAATCTTCCATTCTTGTCTAATCACTGCAACTTTTCCTCAAATTTGATCAAAAATGATCAAAGTTTCCCTCGAGTTGAACCAATCAGACCAGTCCCTGATCAAAACCTTGATGATGTCACCAAACTCACTTCCTTGTTTGTGGTGTTAAAGCATGTTGTGAAGCCGCAGACACGTGTGACATGTACGTCTCACATTCACCAACAAACATCCCTGTTAAAGACGTGTGAAGACGTTCACCATGTTTTACATGAAAGGGTTAAATAGTTCTGTAACGCTGCAACACTGTGGTGGAGCCACAGGTGTAGAGCTGGAGCCACAGGTGTAGAGCTACCGGAGCCTCCGGGACCACGCTCCACTACTTTTATTCTCCAGAGGAAATAAAACATCTACAGTCACATGATCATGTTGATGTTTATCTACATTTGAAGAAGCTGAAGATCCGATCATCAATAAAGAGTCTGTCATGAAGAGAGAGAGAGAAGCTGATAAAAACACACGGTCAGAGTCGTATCGACATTTAAGGCGTATTGAACGATTCCTAATCGTCAATAACGCATCAAGTAACACCGAAGAAAAACATTCCACCTTAAACGATCACTCACTGGAACAAGTTGCCTTCCATTTTTAATACAAGACAGTTTTTGCAATTTTTTATTTTCTCCCACAGTTTCATTTAAAAAAAAAATCTTTAAGAAAAGCTGCGGTGAAATCAGGTGTTTTAGCTGCAACAACATCCTGTCATCCTTCCCCACAACAGCTGATGTGGTTTTAGTTTTTCTGTTTGCTCTCTGAAGATTTGTTTATTGTGTGTGTGTGTGTGTGTGTGTGTGTGTGTGTTTGTGTGTGTTTGTGTGTGTTGACATTCCTCTGGTTGTCTCCTCCCTCAGGCTGCTGTAACGTGATCTGTTCAGACAAGACAGGAACGCTGACCAAGAACGAGATGACAGTCACTCAGCTGTTCACATCAGACGGACTCCACGCTGAGGTGTGTGTGTGTGTGCGTGCGTGCGTGCGTGCGTGTGTGTGTGTGTGTGTGTGTGTGCGTGCACGCGTTGAGTCGTTGTGCTGTTAGTAAAGCAGCATTAACACCTCCCTCACTGTTGCTGCTGTAATGCGGCGTCTGCACCTGACCGAGGTTCACTCCGTTTCCTGCAGCCCACAGAGACCAGACCGACCCACTTCCTCGGTCCTGAAGTCTCAGCTGCCGGACTGGAGAAGTGGGTCAGGTGACTGAGGACCAGCACACTGGTCAGGGGTCAGTTTTCAGCAATGACGGAAGATGAAAACTGTAAATTTAATTCACATTAAAGGAGCTGAAAATAGATGAAAGTCAAGCAGGATCTACTTTTTCTTTACTGTACAGGACCTTGAACATGTGATTCTCTATGAGAGGAGAATCACTTCTGTGGTGAACAGAGTGATTCTTCTTGTTTTTCACTGACTGGCTTGGCGGGCTCTTGTTTGACTTGTCGTCTGCTCAGTGAGCGTCGTGTTTTTTATGACTCATGGCATTGTCCTGCAGGTGACGGGCGTCGGCTACAACAGAGCAGGAGAAGTTTTACTGGACGGAGAAATCATCCACGGCTTCTCCTGCCCTTCTATAAGTAAGATCGTGGAGGTGAGTTCACTGAAGGGAAACGTGTTTTCACACTGGACCAAATATCTGTGAAATAAAAGGAAGGAAACGTTTGCTGCAGGAGGAGAAGAGATTAATCCGTGCCTGTGTCGTAGGTCGGCTGTGTGTGCAACGACTCAGTGATCAGGAACCACAATCTGCTGGGACGACCGACGGAGGGAGCGCTGATCGCCCTCGCCATGAAGGTAAAAACACTCCGACCGCTGCACTGCATGATCAAATACTTCACATTCACACACAAACAGTAAACGTAAAGTTTTCAATCCTCCGCCCGGCGACAGTCAGAGTGGCAGCCATTTTGTTTTCAGGTTGTCAGTTTGTCTCATTCTCGTGGACACGACATCTCAGTAACACCTTGACAGAACTAATTCAAATTCAGCACAAACATTCACTGGGACTCAAGGATGAACTTTGACCTTTCACCACCGAAATCTAATCAGTTCAAGGTCACAGTAACATCAGAAAACATTTTTAGCACAGAAATTATGGCAAAATTTCACACAACTGGTTAATATTTTAATATTTGATCTGACTATGGATGAACAGGGATGTGACCTGACTCTAGTCTGAGTGGAGGAGGTGATTCTAGTTTTCTTTAGCTTTGTCAATGTGAAGGTTAAATTTCAGTCCTTGATGACACGAGGATTCCTGTCGTGGTTTATTGTCATGAAAATGACTTTTATCAGTTCTTCTTTCATCAGCTAAACTTTTTAGTCTTGAACTGGTAGATCTTATATATCTGGTTCATGTGAAGAGAAGCCGTGAGTCTCCCACAGCGACCAGTCAGAGATTACAAGCTCTCAACACAGACTTTATTTCTGTTTGAGCTGCATTTACTTCATTACATCAAACGTCACTTTGATATAAATCAGGCTGTTGTTGGTAATAGACACTTACACATGTGTGTTGATATCTGTAATCATGTCTCTGTGTAGTTACTTAGTGTTTCCATGGACACCAAAAAACACAACTGGGGTGTCTTCTAATCATCCATCTGGTAACTGCAGCCTCCACCCGTCGCTCTACACCGTCGACTGTCACATGATCTCATGTCAGTTAAACACTTCAGTCTTTTCTCCTCAAGCACACATTAAACCTGTCGGCTGCAGACTCTCGTTTATCGTCCGTGTGTTTCTTCTTCATGTGTTTTCATGAGTGAAACACATTTCAACAACAAGGAGACTCCAGCTGTGACGTGAACATGAGGTGTCTCTGTCTGGTCCAGCTGTGTCTCTGGTCCAGCTGTGTCTCTGATCCAGCGGTGTCTCTGGTCCAGCTGTGTCTCTGATCCAGCGGTGTCTCTGGTCCAGCTGTGTCTCTGGTCCAGCTGTGTCTCTGATCCAGCTGTGTCTCTGGTCCAGCTGTGTCTCTGGTCCAGCTGTGTCTCTGGTCCAGCTGTGTCTCTGGTCCAGCGGTGTCTCTGATCCAGCTGTGTCTCTGATCCAGCTGTGTCTCTGGTCCAGCTGTGTCTCTGGTCCAGCTGTGTCTCTGGTCCAGCTGTGTCTCTGATCCAGCTGTGTCTCTGATCCAGCTGTATCTCTGATCCAGCTGTGTCTCTGGTCCAGCTGTGTCTCTGATCCAGCTGTGCTCGTGTCTTGTAGATCGGCCTGGAGGGCGTGCAGAAGGAGTACGTCCGTCTGGAGGAGCATCCCTTCACGTCGGAGCAGAAGTGGATGGCTGTTCGCTGTGTTCATCGCACCCAGCAGGTCTGTAAGGAGGGGGGGGGGGGGGGGGGTAAGTAAGCAAGTAGCAGAGCAGAAATAAAACATTGGGGGGACCTCCTCCTCCTGCAGATCTCAGTTGGAAAGTTACCATGTCAACAAATCAGAGATGGAACTGGGGGTGGAAGCATTTAAGGCCTTACAATGGAGATCCAATAAAAAACAGTTCAACACATTGATGATAGTGAACAGCTGAGATCATAGAAACTAATAAATGTGTTTACATCATAAATGTAAAAATTATCATTAAGAAGTAAAAACTTTTTACAGTTTGTTTTTGTTCTGTGGTGTGTTGATGTGAGTCTGATTGTATCCGTTCCCCCCAGGACAAGGCGGGCGTTTACTTCATGAAGGGAGCGTACGAGCAGGTGATTCGCTTCTGCAGCTCCTACAACAGCAGAGGAGCCGCACTCCCCCTCAGCCACCAGCAGAGGGAGCTGTACCAGCAGCAGATCAGTTACATGGGCACTGCGGGGCTGAGAGGTAACAGCTCACTGCGCTCTCAGTGACATCACAGACGCTCGCTTCAGCTCTGACACATCATCTCTGCTCCTCCCTTCAGTGCTGGCCTTCGCCTCCGGCTCAGAGATAGGGAAGCTGACCTTCCTGGGTCTGGTGGGCATCATCGACCCCCCCAGGTCAGGGGTCAAAGAGGCCGTGGCCACGCTCATCAACTCCGGAGTCGCCATCAAGATGATCACAGGAGACTCCCAGGAGACGGCGGTGTCTATAGGTCAGAGAGGAGCCTCGCTCTTGATAGATTGTAGATTTTATCAACAGGTTTCATCAGCTGGGAGGAGGAGTGGTCATGTGACTGTTCACTTTGATGTCAGTTTCTACTGGTCAGTCAGAAAAGAAGCTGCATGTTGATTTTATATGATAACTGAACAACGGAACAAAACATTCTTGACAATAAACATAGTCAGAAGAAAAGATAGAGAGTTCAATTTTATAGAACTTGTATCAATTAAATACCAATATTTGATAAATATGAAAGCGTCCACTGTTAGTTTTGAATACAAAATGTCAAATTCTAGATATTCATGAAACATGTGACAGAACATCTGTGTCTGTTTCCTGGTTTAATCTAAGAAACTTTTACTTTGACTTTGTGACCACAATATGTAACACACACAAACAGAAGGCAGATTTCTGATGACTGATGTTTTCAGAATCAATATAAGATGATTATTTTTTTATTATTTTGAATGTCTTTTAACCTTCAGTCTGTTTCCTGTGTCTCTGCAGCCAGTCGTCTGGGGCTCTACTCTAAAGGCTGTCAGTGTTTGTCTGGAGAAGAGGTGGATCAGCTCGACCTGCAGCAGCTCTCACACATCGTCCCCAGAGTGAGAGAACACACACACACACACACACACACACACACACACACACACACACACACACACACACACACACGACACCGATCCATTAGAAGTGTCTCCAGGATATTTAAATTCCACCGTAACTGATTCTGACCCTGGATGATGATTGTCATAAAGATGTTTGGTTGATCTTGACAGAATCAAACCTGTGGATGTTTACTCAGTGTTTTGATTTCACAGCTTCAAACAGGCAGCAGGAACACTGAGTATTTACAGTCAGATGTGTGGAAAAAAACACAACATGACTCAAAACAACTGATATAGTTTCCACACAGTATCAGTCCTGAAGATCAGTGGAACTTTATTCAGTTTATCTCAAACCTCCAATAAAAATAGGTTTCTGAAAATAACCAGTTGCTGTGAGACGTCTGATTCACTTTGATTCTCTCTCTCTCTCTCTCTTTGTCTGGCTCTCTCTCTCTGTCTGTCTGTCTGTCTGTCTGTCTGTCTGTCTCTCTCTGTCTCTCACTCTCTTTCTCTCTCTTCTCTGCTGTCTCTGTCTGTCTCTGTCTCTGCCTGTCTCTCTGTCTGTCTCTCTCTGTCTCTGTCTGTCTCTCTCTGTCTCTCCCTGTCTCTGCCTGTCTCTCTGTCTGTCTGTCTCTCTCTGTCTCTCTCTGTCTCTCCCTGTCTGTGCCTGTCTCTCTGTCTGTCTGTCTCTCTCTGTCTCTCACTCTCTTTCTCTCTCTCTCTCTCTCTCTGTCTCTGCCTGTCTCTCTGTCTGTCTCTGTCTCTCTCTGTGTGTCTCTCTCTGCCTGTCTGTCTGTCTCTCTCTGTCTGTCTGTCTCTGTCTCTTTGTCTCTCTCTCTCTGCAGATAGCAGTGTTTTATCGAGCCAGTCCTAGACACAAGCTGAAGATTGTGAAGGTGAGCATGATGAACTGTAGTATCAGTATTATTATGAGTATAATTATTGGTATTTTACATACCAGCTGTTTGGTTAACATAAAGAAACAAAACACAGATGGAAGAAGTAAAAACTGTTGAATATTAGGTTCAGGGTTAGGTTTCCATGGCAACATGAATGCAAGGACATCTGGGGATGATGCTCCTTGTCGTTGTTCAGTCTCTCCAGAACATCGGTGCTGTGGTGGCCATGACAGGTGACGGCGTGAACGATGCCGTGGCTCTGAAAGCCGCTGACATCGGCGTGGCCATGGGCCAGACGGGCACCGACGTCTGCAAAGAGGCGGCTGACATGATCCTGGTGGACGACGACTTCCAGACCATCATGTGAGTCAAACACTGGGGGGGCGGGGTCTCTCTGGTCTCTGGTCAGTGAAAACCAAAGTGTAAGAAGTGAGAACGGAAATAGCACCTGCTCCTTTCAATCAGCCAATCAGCATGTAAATAAATTTCAGATAGAAAACTAAAAGCTGATGTACACAGCTGCTTTGCTAATGAAGCTAATCAGTGCTGAAACAAGACTCATCAACTCAATAAGTTAATCAGGTTATTAATTTAGGGTTTTTTGTGTGTCAGACATCTTCCTAAACACAAACAGCAAAGTTATCATGGAATAAAAATCAGGACGGCTTTGTTGTGACATCACAAAGTTCCAGAAGTCCTGACGGCTGGTTTTAAGGCTCAGTTTCTGAATACAGGCTGTGTGCATTTCTCTGTGGACTGAGGCTTTGATACTTTCACAGTATTAATATAGAAGCTAGAGCTGATCTATAATCACACTACACATGGACAGAGACCTTTAGACTGGAGGAGCTTTAATTTGCTTTTAAAGTTAAATTATTTAAAGTTTTTTTTTTTTGGGGCTTTTTGTGCCTTTATTGATAGTGCAGTAGAGAGAGACAGGAAATGGGGAGGCAGAGAGAGGGGGAATGACATTGTCCGATGTGGGACTCGAACCAGGGGCAACTGCAGTGAGGACCTTAGCCTCTGCACATGGGGCGGATGCCCAACCAACTGAGCTATACGACGCCCCTTAAAGTTAAATAATGTAGATATCAGCGATGGGCTTGTTGTTGGCGTCATTATTCGAGCATTGTTTCACTACTGGCTCACCTCACCAGCGCTTGTGTTTCCAATTGGACACGGACCCCCGTATTTCTGTTTTTACGGTAAACACATATATACTGTATATATATATTGCAAGTAATCAAGTAATTAATTCATAAGGTAATGAGAATACTTGAATATTGAAATAAATGAAAATTCATCCTTTAAATTCATATTATTAAAATTATTATCAAAATTTAAATCTTTCATGTATTTAACAATCAAACTGACAGATATATATTTACACTGGTAAAAACAATCTAAATAATATCCTTTATTTGAACAGACAAGCTGGTTTACATGAGAGTATAAAGTTTGCTGTTTATTCTCCAGGTCGGCCATCGAGGAGGGAAAAGGAATTTATAACAACATCAAGAACTTTGTTCGCTTCCAGCTGAGCACGTGAGTGGACGGTCTCTGTGATGTGTGTCGTCCTACTGATGTTGGTGTCCAGTCTGTCTCACTGTCTCTCCACCTCTGTCTCTCTCTGCTGGGCTCCAGGAGTATCGCAGCACTGACACTCATCTCCCTGGCGACGCTGATGAACTTCCCCAACCCGCTGAACGCCATGCAGATCCTGTGGATCAACATCATCATGGATGGACCCCCGGCTCAGAGGTACAGGGGCATCATGGGAACTGTAGTGCAAAACAGACTGATAAGTTAAAAAACAAAAACAGCTGATCCAGTAACTGCAGTGTATTTAAAGTGGTCGACTTTCAGGCTGAGGAAATAACAGAATAAAAAATTATTATTATTATAAATTCCAGGCCGTGTAGAAAGTGATGCTTAATGTGATCAGTTTCATGTCAGCTGGTGCCAATTTCATTAAAAACATTTTAATCAGAGTGAAGGCAGTTGAATTTATGAATGGTTTTAATTTTCTAAGGAATGTTCTTGAAATAAAACATATAGAAAATATAACGGAACATCAATAAATAAATAAATAAAATCCGAAAAAGCAAATGATTTAAAAAAGCGTCTCTGTGGGTGTCAATATTTCTACTAATGACTTTAATATTTCTAAAATCCTGACTCCTGCATTAGATTTAAGATTTTACACATGAAAGATTCAGGTGTGTGACAGTGAGTGTTGTGTTGTAGTTTGGGGGTGGAGCCTGTCGACCGGGACGTGATCCGAAAACCTCCTCGTAACGTGAGAGACAGCATCATCACCCGCAGCCTGATCATCAAGGTCCTGGTGTCGGCTCTCATCATCGTCTGTGGGACTCTGTTCGTCTTCTGGAGGGAGGTGGGTCACGTCTGTTTGTCTGTAGAAAACACGTCTGTGTTTTTCTTTCATTGACATGTGATTAAAAAGTGATGAATCATTTTGAAGAGTCGACAAAGAAGAGGAAGTCAAGTCAATTTTTATTTGTATAGCACCGGTTCACAACATAAGTTATCTCAAGGCTCTTTCCAAGCAGAGCAGGTCGAGACCTTCTCTTTATAATATTATTTACAGAGACACAACAGCTCCCACCAAGAGCAGCATTAGACGACAGACACAAGGAAAGACTTTCTTTTAACCTCGAGCAGAACCGGACTCAACAGGTTGGGTTAGAGAGAGAGAGAGAGAGAGCGCAGAGGAAAAGAACAAGAACGTACAGTGATAACAATATTAATAATAGTGACAGTAGCAGCAGTAACAGTGATAGTCATGTAGTGGCAACTGTAGTGCTCCTACTGATAACAATAGTAATGGCAGCTAATAACATTAATAATTATCATAACAGAATCATGGGGCAGTAGCTGGTTTACAGCTGCAGGTCCAGACTCTGCAGCTCTGGAGGAGGGAGGAGGAGAAGGGAGAGAGAGGGGCACACAGCCGGGGCGCCTCATGTGCTTGAGGGAAAAAGAAAACGGTTTGAACGATGCAGCGACATTCAGAAAGTTTACAGGGATCTCGTCGGCATGACAACCTGGATTATACTGTACTGAGTAGGAGGAAGAGAAGTGGAAACTGTTCTGTAGATGAATCTTGATGTGACGGTTTGCTGTATATCCTGAGAGTTTTCATATTTATACACAGCTCCACCTTTATAGAAATTTACAGTTTAATGTCTCGGTTCTTCTGAAATTAAAGCAAAGATAAAAATGAAATCACAGAACGTCTTTGTGAAACTGAATCTGAATGTCTCGGACTATCCCAGGAAGATTATGGCTAGGGTACAACTGGTTTGGTTTTACTTGACATTACATTGTTCACTTGGAGGACGTAACGGGACAAATCGCTCGCTCGCTGTGGACTTTTAAACATAGTGGGTGAAATAAAATGCAGTGAGCACTCGACCAATCAGAAATGTTAAGCACAGCAGACCACACCCCCCAAAGTTCCTGAACCTTTGGAAAGTACAACCCCCCCGACCAAACACTTTTTTTGGGGGTCGATCAATTACCCCGGAACAAAATTTAGACCCTGGTTCCTGGAAACAGCTCAGTCACCTGTCTGGACTTGAATGTGTTTGTTGTTGTTTGTGCTTCAGTTGCAGGACAACGTGATCACTCCTCGAGACACCACCATGACCTTCACCTGCTTCGTCTTCTTCGACATGTTCAACGCTCTGAGCTCTCGCTCTCAGGTGAACTTCTTCTTCTTTCTGCTGCAGCAGCCTGAGAGAAAGTTTAAACACTTTGTCAGTCAACAGACGAGTTAAACAGAAAACCAGTAATAAGTCATTGATTATATGTTCAATTTATAGAACTGTTATATTTATGACAATTATTTCTATTACTGTTATATTTATGACTGTTGTATATTTTAAAATATATACTCAAAAATATGAAATATAAAAACATTGTAAATAAAGAGATGTGTGTGTGACTGATGTTAATGTTGCCTCTCAGACTCGGATGGGCCATGAGATGGGCTGTCATTGATTGATTGATTGATTGATTGATTGATTGATTGATTGATTGACTGACTGACTGATGTCGTGTCGTTGCCTCTCAGACTCGGATGGTCCATGAGATGGGGCTGTGCAGTAACAAGACGTTCTGTTACGCCGTCCTGGCGTCCATCATGGGTCAGCTCCTCGTCATCTACTTCCCTCCTCTGCAGAACGTCTTCCAGACGGAGAGCCTCAGCATCTTTGGTAAGAGAAAACCTGCTCAACATCAACAGCTGGAAACAGCTAGAAATGAAACTGGAGGATTGTTAAACAGCTGCAGTTTGTTAGCGTGTTAGCACGTGTGCGGAGGAAGAGCATTGTACCTCGCCGTGTGTGCTGACATATCTCTTGTGTGTGTGTGTGTGTGTGTGTGTGTGTGAACCGTCAGTGATATTCTACAGAGGAGATATATGTAGGGTATATTTGATATATATGGTATATACATACTGTAAATATATATACAGTATGTTGTATCTGATAAGTGTGACAGAGCGACCCAGTCTCAGTGTTTGTCTCTGGTGCAGACCTGCTGTTCCTGGTGAGCCTCACCTCCTCGGTCTGCATCGTGTCTGAGGCTATTAAGAAGGTGGAGAGGTGGAGGGGAATAGAGCGGACCCCGCCCACTGACTGCTTCCATGAGGTATGACCCCCCCATACCCTCCTACACCCCCACTGCCTGGGCTGAAGGATCTGAGGAAGACGAGGAGGCGGATGAAGGTGATGGGAACATGATGGTTTTAGGATCTCACACCTGATGGCACTGACTAAAGAAGACTGCAAGGACTTGTGGGATTTTCCTGTGAGATCCTCAGACGGGGGGAGAGACTCTGGTCTGGGACTGGAGGGCACTCCCGGTGTCGGGGGGAGGGTTGGGGGGCAAGATAGCGAACTGGACTTTGATTGAGCTGGGAGGAAGAGATGGCTGCTGGGAGATCTCAGCGCCGACGCCTTTTAGCCGGTGCCCCCGCTACACTCAGAGGAGACTCCTGACAGGAGCTTTGGGGAAACCGCCACGGACCGACCACGCCTTCCCGACGCCAACTGGCTCGTTGTTTAGGATGTACGTTAAGAAAACCCTCTGACCAATCAAACACTAGAGACGTGTGCAATTTTCCTCCAGTCGTCTGTTTTAAATCTGTCCACCACTGTTGTTGCTTCTCAATGCGCCGGACGACATGTCGCAGTTTCCAGCACAGGGCGGAGGTGTGACGGTACAAACCATGAGAGGAAACTGTTCACCTGGTTCCTTTGATCCTGCTGAAAGTAAATGTAAAGATTTATGCAGTGAAATATTTACATAATGACAGTCATTTAAAGAAACAGTGCAGCTTTAATTTCATCTTCTCTGCAGCGTTCAACAACATTATTTCGGCACCTAATTTAAATATAAAGTTATTTTCATCTTTTTTTCATCTTGCGTTTTTCAAAAGACGCTCCTAAACATCTGTCTTTATAAAGTGAAACATTTGTGACTAAACAGCAACAACTAACGTTCAAGTTTAAATTTTAAGAGTAAACTTCATTCAGTGACGGGCTGCGACTCGGTGTCAGACCACACATTAAAGTATCTGACACAGTGATTTTATGAAATAACAAAGTTTCCTGTAAAAACATTTTGAATTTCTCAATGAGGAGAAAATATCGTACTAAATAAAATAAACTAAATAAAAGCTTAAAGGTTAATTATGTTAAGACAGAGCAGCAGTTCAGACCAAATAAATAAATAATGTAGCGTCACACCTCCACGACGTGCTGGTTCCTGTGGTCCATGGGCTTCAAGCTTCATCCTTCACACACTGGTTTATATGAACAGAGCTGCTGTTTGAAACTTCCTGACGCTCGTTGTGGACCTGGGTCCAGACACAGACCGTTCAGTGACACCGCTCCTCATCCTGTGCCTTAGAGAAGTCATCCATCGTTTGAATCACCTCCACCTGAGCGGAGGAGGAAGAAGCCCTTTACTGATGGATGGCTTCTCTGCTTCATCTGCTTCAGCACTTCACTCAGTTTTCAATCAATCTCCCCAAGTTTTATTTTCCATTTTTATTTCCTGTCACATCTCTGTCTCAGATTTACCTCCACTTTTAATCAATATAAATAAGTCATGGTGCTTTGTGGGAAATGTAGTTTACTTGGCCTTGGTCTTGTTGTTGAAAGTTTTATTTGTAGATTTTTTTTTTTTATTTATTTCCAAAAGGCACATTTAGACATGACCACGGGGGAAGAGGAAAACACCTTCACTCTGCTTCCTGTTTCCAAAATTCATTGTTTGAACAAAGACGGTCGTCATCGTCTTCAACAATATATTTACTGTGTGTCAGTACGAAATATCAGAAGACGTACCTGATGGGAAGCAGCAGCAGAGTCCAGGTGTTCTTTTACTTTCTCCAGGTTTTGATTTGTAACTTGCAGCTTTTAACTGTAAAAGATTAAAGAATTAAACATGAGATTTTATTTCTAAATGAGCAAATGTCAGCAGAGATATTAGTCTTGTTTTGTAGCTTTTCCATCTTTCATTTCTGCTCTGTGATCTGGAAACACGCTGATGTTGGTAGACTGACACCCAGCAGGAAAACTGAGGCGCCTTCACACAGTCCCGTATCACAGACAGAGTAAAGTCCAACATCAGCTACAGCTCAGAATCAAACAGACCAGTTAAATGAGTCCAAGAAAACGAAAGGAGCAACGTGAGTTTATTTAAAGAGGATCTTGAGCAGGAGTTCAGACTAAAAACAAAGCTGTGGTGATTCAGGAACAGGTGAGGCAGGTTTATCAGACGCCACAACTCATACAGGAAGTCACAGCCTCAGCTCCTCTGTTTCTGAGCCTAGTTCAACAAAGAGCCTCCACTCCAACGAATGAGAGACAGACTGTAAATAAAGATGGACGTCGCCTCTGTGACGTCACCCACAGATTTCTAAAGCTCAAAGTGAGCTGCTCCACCGTCGCCATCTTGGCATGTCTGACCCCCGCCCCCTAACTCCCAGCTAATCCAGAAATGGTCAAAGAAGCATTCGCTCGCCCACCTGTCACTCAAAGAGGCCACGCCCTCAATCCTCCATAACTGTAGTCCTTAATAAAATGTAAACAGGTGAGTTATATAAACAGGTGTCATGAAGGAGGAAATTAGCTGTAGAGACCAAAACAGTTTTTGTACCAGGCTGTAAACATGTTTATTTCTGCTGTAAAGTTGGACATTTGAACATGGGAGTCTATGGGGACTGACTCACTGTTGGAGCCAGACTCTAGTGGTCGTTAGAGGAACTGCAGCTTTTAGTTTTTCAGCGCTGGAGGTTGATGCTTGGTCTGAATGGTCTTAAAGCAGATTCTGATCCAGCTCCTGGTTTGATACAGAGACAGTGGAGAGGAGGGAGGAGTTAAACTGTTTCTGTTGTTTTTAGCTCCAGTCAGACGCCAGATTTAAAAATCTACTTTTGTTTATACCTATGTGCTGTGTTCACTCCCTGTTTGTGCAGGTTTACCTGCATTACCTGACTTGGACCTTCTGTTCTTACATTTACAGCAGATGTGGTGCATTAAATTGTCGTTCCACTCCGGTATAAATGTATGTCTGAAGATTGTCAGTCATCCAGGTCGTGGTGTTTCTAAGTGCTGAACAAAGGGAACTGGGTTTTCTTGAGTCTTGAGGTGAAGTGGTCTGGGTGAGAGCTGCAGTGATTCATTGATTAGTTGATCAGCAGAAAACTAATCAGCAGCTGTTTTGATAATTGATTCATTGCTTGGAGTCAAAAACGTGAATACTTTGTTTTCTTTAGTTTTCTGTGAGAATACATTTCATAAACCAAGAAAGTAATGGAGAACATAATTACCAGATTAAACGATGAAAATAATCGATTGCTTCAGCTTTGGTTCAGAAAATGTGTCTGAACTTAAGGTTTGTTTCTGACCTGTGTGACGGTCTGATGCTCCTGGTTCTGCTCTCCTGGACCCGTGTTGTGTAAAAGGCAGCAGATCACATGACCTCCATTTTGTCCCGTGTCCACTCTCTCACCTGTTTTTGAAGTCTCTTTTCCACCTGATTGAAATCCTCAGTTCTTCATTCCTCTTCTCATCATCGACGTTCACACTGGTTTGTGTGAACTTGTACATTTGACTCTGTAAAATAAGTGACGGTTGGTGTCTCGTCTAAACTTACTCTATAAACTGCTTTCTGAATCTGCTGTGTGTCGGGGCCGAGCATGACTGGTGGCAGCTCTTCTTCTTTTTACTGCTGAGTGGTTTGGACAGTATTTCACAAAGCAGATCCCGTCCCTCACCTGAGTCTGAAGTGCAGCTGAAACAGTTGATTGATCGACCGATGGAGCAACTTGTATCTGTTTGTCATTTTCAGATCATTACATATGAAGATTTGCTGCTTCTATTTAATATTCGAAAGATGTCGCATGGAGCTTTAAGAGAGTGTCACTGACGATTAATTGACTAATCAGGAAAATAGTCGTCACATCAGTGAATAATGAAAATAATGGTTAGTTAGCAAAACTGTTCTCAGCGAGAAACTTCAATAAAAAAACAAGAAGTTGAAGCATTTTAAAGATAATATTTACAAATTGATCAGGTTTTGCACAGCAAGGTATCACCCTGCACAGTTTCCAATAATTTACATTTAGAAAATGATCTGAAGATTAACTGACAGTGAAACTCTGAGTCCCTCAGAGAACCCACTAATATGTTTAAATATAATTGTAGCTTGAATATTCAGATTTACACCATTACATTTTGTCATGATCAATTAATCTGCTGATTATTTTTAAAATCCCAACCAATCAATGACAATTTATTAAAAACAACTCTGCAAACATTAAAAAAAAGGTTTGTATCAAGTCTGTGACAATAAAAAATCTTTATATTAAAGAATAATTCATCATTTTACCTTTTCATGATGTTGGCGTCTTTGTTTTGTCAGACTACAGAGCTTTGTGAAATACTGTTGGTAAAGCTCCTTTCTCCAACGCTGCAGCTGTTTTTACTCTCAGCTCAAGTTCGTCTGCTGCAGCTGCAGAGCAGAGAGCAGCTGCTGCTCTGAGACCAAACACCAGTCACACCACTGACCCACTCTTTATATTCACTTTTATTTATGTGTGTGTGTGTGTGTGTGTGTGTGTGTGTGTGTGTGTGTCCGTGTGTTCGTGTGTGTGTGTGTGTGGCTGAGAATCAAATGTATATTAAAATTTTATAAATCTTTTAAAGAATCTCACCTTGTTTTTATTCATATTTTCACTGTTGATATTTAAATATATTCACTGAGGCAGTTAAAGCAAGAGAGCAACATTTATTCATTTGTTGAACATTAACATTAAAAATAATTTGACACCACAAAACAGATTTAACATTTCCTTACTTGTAATTCTATATTCCCATTTTCTCATTAAGTGCAAATAAGTTTAACTAAAACAGTCATCACTGATTAGTGGAGAAAATTCTAAAAAAGTTCCTTTCTTGACTTGAAAACAGCTGCAGTCACATCTAACAGTCCTCTTTAGTTGTACAAAAGATAAAAATGTTTAAAAGTGAACAGTGTTGTTTTTCAAGTACAAAAGTGCTGCTATAAATAGAACAGGCAAATATAAATACACTTCCAAACCAGAATGTTCAGCTGATGATAAATCATCATAAAAACAGGAAAGAAAATAAAATGTAAAAGCCAGAAGAGAACAAACAAAAAAACTCTCCAGTATCTTCAAGCTGAGATCATCAGAGGAAATTCTCCTCCACCAGAACAGAGCTGGTGGATCTGCCTCCTCATTTGAACATGTGCCAGTATTTAAATTCTTTTAGCCCTTGATCCCTGTTTTGGTTTGTTTCTGTCCCGTTTGTTCTTTATGAAACTGCTGGTAGAAGAGACACTGTCCCTCAGTCCTCAGAGCAGGTCCCAGCCCCTGCTCTCTTCCTTGCGGGCCAGTTCCAGGTTGTGACTCCGGTTGTTTCTCTCCTTGGTTCTGTACCGAGTTTTCACTGACACCAGTTCGTCCAGATGTAGCTCCTGCTGCGCTCTGACGGCGCTGTTGATTTCAGTCGCAGCTTCCTCGTCATCGTACTGCAGGAACAGCTGCTGCAGGTTGGCAGTCAGGTCGTCCAGAGGCCGCCGCTGCCGCGGCGCCGCCGCTTCATTGTGGCTCTCTGAGGGCGTCGACACTCTCTGAGCATGAAACTGGTGGACGACGGTCAGCATGGTTCGGTACTGCCTCACGCTGGAGCGGTCGCTCTTCAGGAAGGCCTTCACTTTTCCTGTAGTCCTCATCCTGTGGACCAGCTCGTGGACCAGCACCCCCTGATACAACCTGGACAGCATCAGAAAGACAAGAAGAGATTTTCACCTTGTTGTTAACCTGAACGTCTCAAAAAGCTTTGGTCCAAAGGTCTTCAATATTTTCTCTAACCTGCTGTGGTCAGTAATGTCACAGAAACTCCTCTGACCTTACATTAAATCAAAGACACTATAACAAAAGATGACGCATTACAGGAAGCGCCAGTGGTGAGTAATGGTATAGACTTCCTGTGTCCTAAGTGGCCATGGTTATGATTTCTTGTTCATGTCAAAACATAACAACAATACAACACTAGACATAGTTTGAATTTCCGCTCCAAGCTTATATCTGATCAACCCAGAACAAGATTGTATCAGTCTGATGCTGTTTTCTCTCCAGAAACTGTTGAATAGTAATAATTATAATAATAATAATAAAATTATTACACAATGAAACACAAGTTTTATTTCAGTTTTAACTTTTGAGCCATGGTTTCACATAGAAGTCTACGGTGGCCGACAAGCTGCAGAAACTTGCTGCAAGAAGACAAAACAAAAACATGAACAGCAAACACCTTGAGCAACAGTTTGAGCTTCGACACAAGAGGCCCGACCTGACCTGACCTTTGACCTTGGACTAAACGAGAGAGTATGAAGAAAGAAAAAGCGACATAAAAAGGTTTGTGTTCTTTTTACATTTGGCCGTAGTTTTTACGATATAAAAGAGCAACAGATAACGTAGTGAGCATTAGCGTTATCTAAAATACAGTCTATGGTTTCGAGGCCTTATGACTGGTTTGTCTTTCATTTCTTGGATTTGACTGTAAGTTAAACTTAAACTCAAGTGGCCGACACAGGTAGTAAAATAAGGATCTGTCCCTTTATAGATATTGGACTATGTTGAAGGTGACAGATCAATGCTGTTGAACCCTGTGTTCAGAGCGGGAGTGTCAGAGCGGGAAAGCTGGGAGGGGAGGGGCTTTGTTAAACATGGGTTCCCACACAGCCATGATCTGGGTTTGGTGGAGTCTCACCGTGACACCTGAGGCTCAGGTAGAGGGAAGCCCAGCAGCTGGTTCAGGTGGATGCTGTCCTTCATGCAGACCTGCCACTGGTTAAAGGCATGAACCGCCGTCAGGTCCAGATGTCGTTTACAGCGGTGATCCTCAGTCTGCAGTGCTGCAGCACACACACACACACAGTTTTCTTTCATTGAAAATAATAGAAATAGAATAGAAATAATAGAGCTTGAACGATTAGTTGATTAATCAATTAGAAAAACAGATATAACTTTGATCCAGTTAATTCCCTGGAAAATTTCCTCATCATTTCCTGAAGATCAACTGATATTTGACTGTTTATTACAAAGAGTTTGGTAATTATAAGGAAAATGGAGAAAGTGTTAGTTGCTCGTTATATTGTTCTATTTGTATTCATAAGAATAAACAGGAACATTCTGCAGTAGATAAGTGAAACACAGTCACTAATCAGACGTCAAAGTGTCACAGCTGTTGCTGCAGCATCATGTTGTGTTAGTGTTTTTACCTGTTGTGTGTCTCAGAGGATCTCTGACGCTCAGCCCCAGCAGCAGCGCCTTCAGCAGCTTCTCGTCTGGCCGAGGCCGAGCGCTCTGCAACCAGAAGCAGATGACGGCCACCGGGAGGCGCAGCTGAGGCGGCAGGCGGCTCAGACACGCCTCGGTCACCTGCAGACTGTCCAGCAGCAGCTGCAGACGCTCGGAGAGCTCCGCCTACAGCGACACCAGGAGAGAGGGTAAAGGTGAACTAAACTTCCACTAAAACCAGTCAGAGTGAAACAGATGAAGGAATGAGACACAAACGTTTGGTCTAAAATGTGAATCTAACAAAATGAAAGTATATTACAAATACAAAAGTGTATAAATATCTATAAATGTTTTTCGTGCAAAAAAGGAAAAATAGTTCATTGGCTGCTCAAAGTTAAACGGTTAGGCTGCATTAACTACAGAGCTGCAATGATTAATCAATAATTATCTATATATATTTTATAGACAAATCAATTATTAAAAGATTATTGGCAGAATAATCATTACTTGCAGCCCTTATTAGCTACAATTGGCTGTATCAGCTTCTTTCTGCGGCATCTGTTAAGTTTGAGTGTTTGCATTTCCTGTGTGACGTCGTGCTCGAGTCACGTGCTCGGCAGAGATGGAAAAGTTCCCACGTTAACGACTCGACTCACCAGCGTTCACGACGAAAGTTAAGAATACCGTTACATTAACGATGTGACATCATATCCATTAAATCAGGGTTTAATTACATCGATGTGAGATGTTTGTAAAGAAGAGCGGAGTCAGACAAGGAAAAGTCTGGTTTCACGTTCAGCGTGATCATGTGCTTTTAATGAGTAAACAACATGGAGGCGACAGAGAAGGTGAGCTGTAGTCAAAACAACATGTTGATGCTTTTTCCAGTGTGTTTGTTACTGCTTATAAATAACTAATGTAACTGACCCATGTCACGCTACATGGACGACAACTGCAACCTAATACCAAATGAAAAACTGTTAGCAAGAAAGAAACTGCACGACGTCAATTTGCACCATCAATCAAAAAGTTTCTCACCATGAACCAAACGTTTACATCCGTCCGCCATGTTCCTGCGTATCTGACGTCAACAACTCGTTCCGACTTGAGGGATCGTTCACGTGAATTATTCCAATACTACGTAAATGCAGGGTCGAAAAAAGGCTGTTTACAAGCCGGGAAGTTGTAATTACGATAACCTTGACGTGGATGCAGCATTAGCTTCATTGGACCGGAAGCTGTTTGCTATGTTTTGTTGTTTTTTTGAAGTTTGATACTAAAGTCGGCAGCAGCAGTCTGAGTGTAGTGACCAGGTTGTATCAGTTCATCATTAGATAAATTTGGTTCTATTAACCTTTTGTTATAAGTGATGGCAGCGGTTAGTCGGCACATCCTTCCACCACAGTCCCGTGTTGTGTTTTAAACGCATTTGAAAAAGGCGGGAATCATCGATATATAATGATGCACTGGTAAAAGCGTCACCTTATTCAGAGAGTTGAGCACCAGCCGCTGAGCGACCCCTCTGAAGGCCGGTGGGACCAGGTTGAATTTCATCTGGAGGCCCTCTCTGTCTCTCTCCTCCACCTGCAGCGGCGTTCCTCCGCCCAGCAGCAGCCCGTACATCACCTGGCGCAGCGGCCTGGAGGTCAGGTTAGCGGTGGGCGTGTCTTTGTGATCCACGCAGACGCCGAGGCTCATCCTCTGCAGCTGCAGCACGTCCAGGACGTCTGCGGTCAGCCGGACCTGCATCAGAGGCAGCCGGATCCAGTCCGGGATAGGAACCGCCACCTGCAGGAGGACAGCACAGAACACCTGAGCAGATTTACTCTGTTACTTCTAGATCTACAAAGACATTCAGACCGGACGTCAATGAAGGGACATGGGCCGCAAACAAACCTTCCAAAGTAAAGGATTGAATTACCTTTTCCACCACTGGGAGCGGGGGTGCTATCCCGTGGATGAAGAACCTGCTGAGGTAGGTGGGAGGCAGCTTGTACTCCTCCATCCCCAGATTCAAGCTGTTCTTCACCTCTGCCTTTCTTTTCGTGTTCAGTCCTTCCATCAGCCCCACCGCCGCCTCCAGCGCCTCCTCAGGCGTCGTGAAGCCCTTCAACCAGCAGAGCAGCCCCTCCAGGCGGCTTTGTGTCTCACTGCCTGTGGTGTCAAATTGAGCCCAGTTGATGGGCGTCTCCATCCTCCTCAGCTTCACGTAGTCGTTCCCGGCCAAGGCGGCTAAGGTGGGCAGGAGCTTGGGCTGGACGTTGAAGACAATGCAGAAGCTGGAGGTTTTGTAGCTCTTACAGGGGATGTAGCGCTGCGAGCCGCTCTGCTCCACCGCCTCCCACCTGAAATGAGAGATGGGCAGCAGCCCCGCAGGGAGATCAAAGATGTAGAAGTCGCTGTCGTTGGATAGCACCGGGCACTTCCACTCGTTGGCCAGGGCGGCGATCTGCTGGTCGGCCTCTCCATAACACTGTGCCACCGGGACCTCCAGCCGGGCCAGGGTCTGTTTGAACACCATCTTGGTGAGCAGTGGCAGGATGTGCTGCTTCCTCCCTTCCACTGCTGCCTGATGGGCTTTCTTGATCCGACTCTCAGCTCTTTGCAGCAGAGTATCAAGCTTCTTGTCGGTGGAATCAGTGCCTCCGTCCAGTACCACGTATGGCATGATCCCGCAGTCCCTGAGGGCCGAGACAAACTTCTCAATCTGCTCCTCAAAGGCGGCGTACTCCCCACCGTGATTCTCGTCCAGACCTGACAAATCAACCAAAACAAAAAAAACTCAAGACCTTTTATTGGCTTCATTACCTCAGTCAGGGAGGTTTGTTTTCACCTGTGTCTGCTGGTCTATCTGCAGAGTTACACAAAAAGTACTGAACTGAGTTTCACCACACCTGTTGGAGGGATGGGGGAGGGGTCAGGGAAGAACTCAATAAACTTTGGTGCTAATCTTACCATTGCAAGATATTTTAGTTTAGTTTGGTCTTGGTGGAGGTGTGTGCTCTACTGCAGACCGTTCTAGTTTGTCATGAAATGACAGGCCATGAAACTGTTGTATATTATTACATATAAAATGATAAAAGGAATTCCTAAGCAGTTAATGTCCAGATATATTTAGCATCTCTTCTCTCAGAGAAAGGGAGGGACTGGAGTAGTCACAGTTTTGCTATGTGTGTGGGGGATGGTGTATAAAGTCTATCAATTACAATATACATCATAATTTCAACACCCTCCTCCTCCCACTGACATTATAATGTAGCTGTAAGCTGATGGGGACATTTTAGGTATCTATTAATCAATATGATTATGACTTTTTCCATAAGGACACAGTTTATATTATTATTCCAGCTGTTTTATTAGATTGATGTTCATAATCTGTTAATGCAGCAGCTTCCACTGATGTGTCCACAGACTTAGATCTGACTGTAACTACAGTATTTACCTACCAGTATATACCTTGAGATAACTTATGTTGTGAATTGGCGCTATACAAATAAAAATGGACTTGACTTGTGTACTGTGTAATCAACCATTTATATGATGTTTAAACTGTGTGTGACTGAGCCCTCCTCCACACACACACACACTTTTCTAAAGTTCAAGGTCCTTTAATGAACGGATTATAAAATATGATGACTGGTTGTACATTAATCTGCTCAGTTTTTATCAGCTAACAACATCACATCCACAAAAACATTTGCATCATCGTGCATCTGTGTTTAAAACCTTCTAATATAAGATGAGATGAGATGAATATTTATTGATCCCCCGTAGAGGAACTAAAATATATATATATGACACAGCGGCACGAAAGAAAAGCAGCAACAAGGGGAAAATTTTAATAAAAATTAAAATGAGAATAGAAATAAAATCTAAAATAAATAAGTTAAATTTGAAATAAATAGACTGTTCTGTATGCAATATAAAAATAAAGATAAAAAAACATCAGCTGGAGTAAACAGTGACTGCAGGACTTTAATTTAACTTTAACACCAGGAAATAAAGATCTTAAAACATTTTTACTCATGAAAACTCAAAGTGACGTCATCCAGGCGTCGAGAATATACGAGGTTTCCAACTCAAGGGTTATAAATTTTAAAATCTGATTATTACTTGAAAATTAAAATGTTTCTGTCACATAACAGGGAGAAATGAAGCAAAAGTTCCCCTCTGCACAGTAATACTTCAGTACCACAGTACTGCAGTACAGTAATGCCTGAGTGTACTGTAGTACTGTAGTACTGCACTCAGAATACTGTGTTTACAGTGAGTCCTACCTGAGTTGAAGTACATCAGGTACAGCAGGTTGCAGCCGTCGATCACCAGCCGGCTCTTCATGAACCGGACCTCCCGGTAGATCTTCCCGTAGTTTTCCAACAAAGTGGCCAGGCCCTGAACACCCATCTCGGGTCCGTGTCTGTTGACGAACCCGCATCTCCTCCGCTCTTATACGAAGCCGCTGCGGCTCCGTTTCTGTTTCCCTAAGTTTCACTTTCCTGACATCAGCAGCGGGTCAGATTCAAACCTCCGGGTTTGTTACTGCACCCGAGGTGGGGCTGGCAGCCGTCCCGTTTATTACGGGGTTGTCCCGTATTAGAACATAAAATGCAGCGTCCTGCACTGAGTGCGGGGTTAGGGTTATTTGTCCCTTATTTTCCTTCATGTCATGTCCTCACAGTGCTGTGAATAATGTCCTGTCAAGTAAAACCAAAGCAGTTAGAACTACAAGTGGGTTGGAGAAGTTTCTCCATTAGCAACAGCCGGACGAGCTCTGTGTGCTGTGAAGAAATGACACTCATCCTGCATTTCACACACGTTTACAACATAATAGAAAATGAATAATGTTTAGACTTTGGACATTTGCAACATTCAGTACAACTACATCTGAAAATACAAACAATAAAATAAAAACATAATTCTGACCAAACAACATTGAAGCGTATTTTTCATTCCTTGAAATAATTATCAAAGACTCACAGGTTCTTGTTTTGACTAGTTTTGGTTAAAGACGCGCCTCTGGTTTCTTCTGAAAAGGAAGTTTATGGGGTTTGTTGTGAAAAAGTTTGACGTGGTAAAAGTGACACAGATATTTGAAAAGATTCCTGTTACAAAATAAACTATTGCTGCAGTGATCTGAGAATCTTCCACTGATAGAAACGTGAGGTCTGTGCTTTTAAACAAAGTTGTAACAGCTGAGACTGAACATGCGGCATCCTGCAGCTCTGAGTCACTTCTGCATCCACATTTTTTTCATATTTCAAAATGTGATCAAATGAGTCAGAAATTATAAAGACATTATAAGACATTATAAAGTTAAAGGTTAGATTTCAAACTGGTTTTTAGTTTGTGATCAATTTGTAATTGCAAGAAGCCAGTAAATGTTTTTCTAAATGGTTTATTTAATGAGAGTTTTATGCTGTTTGTGTAAATCCATTTTAAAATCTGGAGTATTTATTGATGGATTCATCGTCCAGTTATAAATTCTTTTTACCATTCCTATTTTTAATGTCTATTAAATATGAAATGAAGGAAATGCTTTATTACTTACTACTTATTGCTTATTACTGTGACATTCTGGTCCACCATACTAACCACTGCTGTGTCTACAATACTAAATGTATGGTAGACTGAGCTCTAACAGCAGAAGCTGGAAGAAGATAAAGAAGCTATGAACTGATGCAACGCTGAGCTGTCTCACAGATCCCAGACCAGGAACAGAAACCAAGGAGCTGAATGGAAAGTGAAACGTAGAGTTGTTGTGTCCAAATCTGTTGCCCATCAGATGCTTTTCAAAAAAGGGGGCCGCTCCTGTTCCCACCTGTCACATGACGGTCACATGACAGACGAAAATGGCAGTAGTTGTTAAGACTAAAAAGTTCTTTTATTTTATGAGACAGCGTCAATAATAAAAAGCAGAAATGAAGTCTTGACTGATGCAGCTAGAACCAATCAGAGGGAAACTGAAATCCCTTCAGTTAAGAAATATCACAGTGAGGGAGAGATGTTATTCTGAATATCAGCACGGCTGTGATTCGGTCAGCTGTGCTGATATTCAGAACCATCTCTCCCTCACTGTGATATTTCTTTTGTACAGTTCTACCAGTGCCATTTTAATTAAATAGGCAACAACAGATTATGATTTGTTTGTTTACCATTTATTTGTTTACACCAACACAAATAGTTCCAACTGGATTGTTACTGGACTGTTGCTAAGCAACACATAAACATTTTCCTGACTTGCACAGTGACACTAGCTGCTACCTTGTCTACACGTTACCTCAGGTGTTCCTGAAGTATCCAGACTTCTTCCTTCGTCCTCTCCTGACGACCACACATCATTTAATTAAACAGTTATTTCTGAAATATTTTCATCTTTGTTTGTTAAAATCTAAGATCGATAACGAAGTTAATGTGACGCTGATTAATGGTTAAGTGGAGTGATACATGTAGTTAAAAGTCCCCGTGCTGTTGTACTCAATAGGTGCGTTCGACTTTATGTGGTGCTGCGCAGCGCCGACTTGATGTGATGCATGTTGGACTAAACACATTGCATGCTGGTTAGAAATTATGGCCCAATCCCAATGTCCCCCCCTGAGGCTTAGTCCCTGAACCCTCACAGACTTTATTGATGCCTTTGCATTCAGTTGTGGGTTAGAGACTTTTGATTGTACATTTTCATTCCCTCCCTTTGCTCCTTGTTTGTAAACAACAACAAAAATGTTGGATCAGATCTGATCAAATATTACTCTAATACAAGTGAAAGATGCTCAGTCAAGTTTTTACTTGCGTTTAAGTACTGGAGTACTTGATTTTAAAATACTTGAGTGTTCAAAAGTATTTTTTTAAGTCAACACATTGTTGTATTGTTTCACATTTACAGAACCTGATGACTCTGAAACAACCGACTGACTGAACTGACGCAACTAACTTTTGTATAAGTGTCAAGTGTCATCGAAAGTGAAACTTAAGAGAATTTTAACTGCGTCACATTTTCACGTGTCCCCGCTGAGCAGAAGGAGACAGTCTCTTCTGTCGGTGTCGAACAAACAGCCCCAGACGTTAAAGGGTGAGTTACTGCTAATATGACTTAAAGTGCTCTGAGTTAAAACAGCGGAAATATGAAGAACTGCAGAGGATCATCAGTCAGCTGAATGATTCGAAATTAAACATTAATAGTGAATATTTTTGAATCGATTTGTGTTGGTATCTCAACATTTAGCTATTGAGAGATTATCATACACTGACCATGTTTCTGAAATAAAAACCGGGCTGTCAACATATCTACAACCATTGATACACTGATTTATTTGTCGCGCCCATTCACTATTTACCGCCATAAATTTACTTTCTAAATCATCTATGGTCGCACTGCTTCTTTGTGCTCTGGCCTGAGGCCTGTACTACGAAGCAAGTTCAACATACCCAGGATAACTTTTAGTTACTTAGCTTGCCTGAACCTAACATTGACCTGACAACCTGTACTAAGAGGCTGGTTATCAGTTATCAGTTAACCCTGGCATAATTATAGTGTCCATAATATAGTCTTCAACTATATAGTCAACATATTTTACTTATGTTTATGTAGTGATTGGGACACATTTCTAATAATTCCCACTGACATGTTTTTAAAGCTATTGTTATTAAATTTTTCCGCATGTCTTGAAATACACATATGTAGATCAGGGAAGATTTACTGTCATCACAGGTTTGCCATCACTTTACACCAATGTGTTATATTTGTACATATTTCAAAATGTCCACTGTTTGTTAAGCCGGTTTCTGAGCTGTGTTCATTCGACTTTCCACTGATAAATAACTGCTCGATTATATTCTGTTTTCTTTAAAGGTAAAACGCATGAGTCTCCACTGACAGGACCAGATGTAGGAAGAATGTCTGATCTGATAAGCAGTGATCTATGTGAACCGCCCAGTATGGAGGAAGACAAGTAAGAAAACCTTTAGATAAATTATGGAGGTATCAACATGAAAACAGAGTTCCTGCTGACAAACATATATACCACACCGTGACAAAATTACGTAATTTTAACGATGTCAAAAGCAAAAAATAACATTATGAGGAGTCCAAAGGATTAAAGCAGCTTTCAAGAGAGACATGTTTAGTTGTGTTCTGGGTTACAGAGTCCAGCCAGCAGCAGCGTCTTCATGTCCCAGTGGAGTCTCCCTGAAGAGTAACCAGTCCATGATCATTCCTCTAGCCTTCAGTGGAGCAGAGGTTCCTCCTGGTGAACGGTGAGATAGACAAAGTGTCCTCCAGTGCCACTAAAACAAAGATAATAACAATAACATTTTTACTTTATACAAATGGATGCAAACAGCAAAAAGTACAATAAGGCAATGAAGTGTCCTATGCTGCTTGTGTTGCTGCAGCAATGTCTTTGTGCAGTGCTCCATCTGAATGTCTCGTGCTGTGTTCAAAATAAGACAAAATCAGATGCATCATTGCTCACAGACATTATTAATTTATTATTATTCCATCTCATTTTACATTAATGTTTTTCATTTTGCATCAGTGTTTTTAATATGTTTTTATCTTAATTTTATGTATTTTCATGTGATGCACTTTGTGCTGCATTTTTATATGGAAGGTGCTATATAATATTATTATTATTATTATATAAAACTAGCCAGGGGAAATTTTTTCTGTATTTTGTAGGTCTGAAATATCATATGATTCCTCAGTCAATTCTAATGAATATGAAAGGCCTTTCTAAATGTCAGAAGAATGTTTAGTTGTGTTCTGGGTTACAGAGTCCAGCCAGCAGCAGCGTCTTCATGTCCCAGTGGAGTCTCCCTGAAGAGTAACCAGTCCATGATCATTCCTCTAGCCTTCAGTGGAGCAGAGGTTCCTCCTGGTGAACGGTGAGAATTTCTAAATTTTTACGTTTACATTTTAAAATGTTTCTGTAAAACATTGCTATTAGTGTGAAATCTTCCTGTGTTACTAGTCTGCAAATGTATTCCTAGATGCAGACACTCAGGAGTTTCCAGTGACCACACTGCATCAAATCAGACTCTGGACCAAAGGGTGAGTGTGTTAAAGTATGCTAGGTTGACCGTTCTTATCCATAGTTTGTGTTAAAACTTAACTAATCGCAGCCGTGAAGGTGATTTCTGACAGCGAGCGATTGCTGCTGCTAGCAGGCAAGGCAAGAGAGAGACGGCAGCTGATGTTCTTGTTGCACAACTAGTTGTCATTGTTGTCCAAGCAACTATTAGCATCATTGTAATCATGACAACCACAGAAACTACTGGGGAGGGAAACAGTCCAGGGGCTAGTTTTTGTTTCACAAAGCCATATTACCAAAACTTGAGTGTATCAACAGGGGTGTGGGATAGGGTTGGGCGATTGGATGAACATATTGGCAATCATTGGTTGTTGGACTTAAGGTTGGAAAATTTCACCGCAGTGTGGGGTACTCGCTCTGATCATGATGGGCTGATTTTCAGTAAAAATACGTGATTGATAGATCAGCAAATTATGCTCCTAGTCACTACCACCTTAAAACCGATCACCTGTGATTAATACTCTGGTGTCTGTGGCTGAGAGAAGAACTGTGTGCTGTTTAGGTTAGTCCCGCCTCCCACCTTGTTCACTGCACCGGCACGTGACAGGTCACCAAAACAAAACAACACGTAAGCCGTGTGGAACTTTTACAAAGTGTGTGAGACTGATACAACGTACGCCATCTGCAATGCATGACAAAAATGATCGGTATCGGTCGATCATAGATGACATCATTTGAATCACTAACTCTGATCCAGCAGGGATTGTTTCATGTTGGATTGTTTACTTCATTGCATTTTCATTTCAACATTAACCATTAATCATATGTTTGGAAAATGTTATTTTTTAATTATAACCTATTATTTTTTAATTTCAGGATTTTGAGGGCAAACTTTTAGAATTTGTCAAATCGAATGTGATAAGTTTTTGGAAGGTCCTCCATCCCAGTGGAGAGTTTGCTGAGGATAAAGAAAAGGAGGAGGTGGTTCATGATGAATTGATTCAGTCAGACGCTGCAGCCAAAGAAGGATTTCTGCAGATCGCCCTCCATGTTTTGAAGACCATGAAAAAGGATGCATACATCTCCCTCCTTGAGCAAAGTAAGGGATTGCATATCCTCCTGGGAAGTGTATGTTTGTGTGTGTGTTTGTGGATATAGTGACAAAATTGAGGTCAGAAGTCATCTACCCTCTACAGAATATAAGGATATAAACCGTAGATTGGAGAGGGTTTGACACTAAAGCAGAAGAAAAGGTCTGCACTCGGGGTGTGCCCAGACAGACAACACCCCTGTGCAAAAACGCAGCCCCCTCATTCTTTTTAAACATAACTGTGTTGATGCAGCAAAGGTACCAATGCTGAAGCTTTATAAAATAACACACAAATAATAGAAAAAAATACAGCCCTTAGGCTGTGTTTCACTTACATGTACGAAATTCAGAAGGCACGCGTAACATGCCAAGACCTACAAAAAAGTTGATTGCACCCATACCCTAAATCCACCAGGAAATCAGCAATTTTGAATTTCCTCTGCCATTTTGGCGCAGTTTATGGATGTTATTCTGTAATGAACTCTTCTTGCTTGATTGATCAGATTTACATCACATTTGGTCAGTCTAATCTTAAAACCTTTGTGATGCTAAATTGGAAGCTTCTGCCTGTGGCGCTGTAGCAAAGTTCAATGTTTCGCCATGAAACAGAAGTTTTTATAACTCCAACACACATTGTACAAACTGCCCCAAACTTTATGTGTTTGATAAGAGTCCTATATTAATGCATCTACTGATGACAGGAAATGTCATGTTTTACAATACTCCTCCAAGCGGTTTGATCACACCCACCTCAAACTTGGTCAGAAAATACTTTACACCTTGATGATTGTATTCTCGTTGCAAATTTCAATGATTCGTCATGAGACAGAAAATTGTTATAACTCAAATATACATTGTCCAGTCTGCTCTAAACTTCTCGTTTGATGACAGTTCCATCTGCATAAAGTCATAGTCATAGCGCCACCTACTGAAAACAGGAAGTAATCCTTGAGTAAGTCATCATTTGAAGTGGCCTTGAATTGTTTGATATGTTTTTTCATTACATTGAACATGGACAGGCTTATCATTTCAGAAGTTGACTAATGACTAATTTCTGTTCTGTCAGGGTATTATGGAGAACTACTTATGTATCAGCGGAAACTTAAATCCTATATGAGAAGGAGATATGAGCACATGGCTGAAGGGATAACATACCAAGGAGATACCACAAGCTTCAATAAAATATACACTGAACTCTACATACTTGATGGAGACATTAGAGAAATCAACAGTGAACATGAAGTGAGACAGATTGAGACAGCCATCAACCGACCAAGGTCTGTAGAAATGCCAATCAAGAGTGAAGACATCTTCAAGCCTTTATCCAAACATGACAAACCCATCCGAACGGTTCTCACAGAGGGGATCGCGGGCATTGGTAAAACTGTGCTGGCACAGAAGTTCATGCTGGACTGGTCAGAGGAGAAGGCCAATGAAGACATCCAGCTCCTGTTTTCGCTTCCTTTTAGGGAGCTGAATTTAATCAGAAATGAAGAAAGAAGTTTGATGGAGCTTCTGCATGACTTCTCTCCAGACTTGAAAGAATCTGGACTCAAAGACCTGAAGATGTACAAAGTTCTGTTTGTACTGGATGGTCTTGATGAATGCAGACTCTGTCTGGATTTCAAGGGAAATGAGAGATGTTGTGATGCTACACAGTCCGCCTCAGTGGATGTGCTGCTGACAAACCTCATTTCAGGTAATCTGCTACCAAAAGCCAATCTGTGGATAACTACCCGACCTGCTGCAGCCGGCTGTATCCCTCCACAGTATGTTGACCGGATCACTGAGGTACGAGGCTTCAGTGACCCACATAAGGAACAGTACTTCCACAAGAAAATTAATGATGAAAAGTTAGCCAAAAGAGTGGTCACTCACATCAAGTCAACAAGAAGTCTCTACATCATGTGTCATGTGCCAGTGTTTTGCTTGATTTCCTCTATTGTCCTCGGAAAAATGTGTGCCAAAGCAGGAGGAGGAAAGATGCCAAAGACACTGACTCAGATGTACATCCACTTTCTGGCACATCAGACCACACAGATGCACGTCAAGTACTGTGAAGAGCAAGAACTGGACTCTCAAGGGAATAACAATATGATTATGTCACTTGGGAAATTGGCCTTCCAGCAGCTGCAGAAAGGCAACCTGATCTTCTACGAGGAAGATCTTAGAGAATGTGGTATTGATGTCAAAAAGGCATCTGTCTACTCAGGGATCTGCACTCAAGTCTTTAGGGAAGAGTCCTGGATGCAGCATAAAGTCTTCTGCTTTGTGCATCTGTCTGTCCAAGAGTTTCTTGCTGCATTGTACGTACATGTGATGTACAAGGTCAATGGTGTAAACCTGATGGTGATCAAAGAACCTGAACAAATCATCAAAACAAAGCCGGTATTCCACTTGCACAAAGCTGCAGTGGACAGAGCTTTACAAAGCGTCAACGGCCACCTGGATCTCTTCCTGCGTTTCCTCCTCGGACTCTCTCTGGAGTCCAGTCAGGGTCTGCTCAGAGGCCTGAAGATACAAGTAGAAACCTGTGACTCCCAAAGTCACGTAGAAATCATCAAGTTCATCAAAGACAAAATCAGGCAGACCCCTCACTCTGACAGGTGTATAAATCTCTTCCACTGTTTGAGTGAGTTAAATGATGACTCTCTGGTGGAGGAGATCCAGAACTACTTGAACTCGGACCAGGACTCGGCGACAGATGAGTTCTCTTCAACACAGTGGGCAGCTCTGGTCTTTGTGTTGCTGACCTCACAAAAGCATCTTGAGCTGTTCGAACTTAAGAGGTACTCCAAGAATGAAGAAGGTCTTCAGAGGCTCTTGCCAGTCTTAAAAGCATCCAGATCAGCAAAGCAAGTATATCTGCAAATCATACAAATCTCCCATGACATATTATAGGAGTGCTGTTTGTGTAGCCTTATCCAAACTACCTTCAAATAGCACATATTTCTGATAATTTTCTGAAGTAAATAAACACTTACAGTACAGCCTTACGCTCTTGAACTGTAGATATGACACCATGTTATACAAACTTAAAATTTTTGTCTTTGTCTTTCTGTTTATCAGGTTGAATGATTGTAGACTCACTGCCAACATTTGCCAGGCACTGTCCTCAACTCTCAGTTCAACATCAGAACTGTGTGATTTAGACGTAAGTGACAACAGTTTACAAGACTCTGGCGTTGAGCTTCTCTTCCCCGGACTCCAGAGCCCACACTGCAGACTGAAGACACTGACGTGAGTGTTGCACCCATGAAAGAAAAGAAAGAAGGCAGTTTCATTCTGAAGAAATAAAAGAAACAAACAATGACATGGCAGGTCATCAGTGGCTACTGATTTTCAGGGTGTAACTGGCAACTGAAGAATGCAGCGGAAACCCATGGCTTATTTACACACAGCTGCTCTTTTGCCTGTTAACACGTTTGCTTAGAAGTAAATACCTTGACAGCTACTACATGGTCTGTGCCAAAATTAATCATTTCTGTATACATTCATGGTCCCTAGAAGTTGTATCCTAATGACTTTGGTCATTCTCTGTTTGTCCCTTCAGGCTCAACAGATGCGGTCTCACCCAGAGATGCTGTGAACAGCTGGCTTCTGTCCTCACCTGTACCTCATCACATCTTCAAAAGCTGGACCTGAGTGACAATGACATCGGAGACTCAGGAGTGCAGCTGCTCAGCACCGGACTGGGAAATGTGTGCTGTAAACTGGAAATGCTCAGGTAACATTACCCTGGAACAATTGCCTGAATGTGGGCTGCTACCCCTCGCTATGGCTATGTCCTGACACACTGAGATTTCCGTTTGAAAATTTTGCCTTTTGTAGGTTTTGTTTGAACCTCATTCAAAGAGATGAGATTAAATTCTGCTGATCAACAGGTTGTCATTCTGTTGCATTACGGAGAAAGGTTGTGGTTTCTTGGCATCAGCAGTGAAATCCAACCCATCCCACCTGAGAGAGATGGACCTGAGCTACAATCACCTCGGAGAGTCAGGAGTGAAGTTCATCTCTGAAGCTCTTGAGGAGGGACGATGTGAATTAACTAAACTAAGGTAAAGAACACAGTTACTATGATGAGTCAGATTAAAGCTCTCAGACATGGAATCTGGAACAAAGCTGGCTTCATCTGTCTGTTAAAATTATGGTTTTTGGGCTTTGAAACATAGGTTTCTATTATCTCCATGTGTAATGGCTTTAAATAGACATGACAGAACCATAATGGACTGCAGTGGATACTGGAACGATGTTTGGTACCTGGTTGACAGTGAGAGCACTGAGTTGGAAAATAATATGATGCAAGAACATGATACAATTAAGAAAATAAAGAATGCTTGCAGGATTCTGTGGTGTGATGACATCCACCATATCACTGAAGCCTTCACCCTCTACAAAACAGAGGTTGAATATCTTTCAGTGTTTACCAATGTTCCCTCAACGCCTCTGATTGCATAAAAAAATGAACTAATTTATTCAGATTTTATGCATATGTTGTTGTGTTCTTTATACTATGTCAGTATTCCTAAAATTTGTCTTAAAAAGTCCCAATATATTGAATCATACAGTAACTCTGTATCATGACAGGTGACTTTGTGCTTACTCAGACATGAGACCAACCTGCCACATCACCAGCAGATTTAAATAATAAAGAGCAAACCTTCAGACTGGACTTCATGCTTTCTGTATAATGCCATCCAGACTTACTTGACAGCATGTTTCATATTCTCCCCACAGAGTCGACCACAATGCAGAATGCTGGTTAAAACCTGGACTGAGAAAATGTAAGTTGTGAATTTCTATATGTACTGTGCCATGCTGATCACAGAAAGAACAAGGGAACAGGGAGAAACTGTGTTGCACATGTATTGGTTTTAGGTCAAGCTACAGTAGATGAGAGAGATTCAGGGACAAGCTTTCCACCAATTATTTAGCTTTTCCAGGATATGGACAGCTTTGAAAAAGAAAACATTATTTCAGTTCTATGATGGATGTTATTAAATGTGTGTTATAAGAATTGCTAATTCTATCCCTTCCTCCTGCCTCCAGATGCATGTGAGCTCACAGTGGATCTCAACACCGCTCACAAACTCCTCATTATCTCTGATGGCAAGCGAAAAGTTACCCAGGGTACAGAGGAGCAGCCATATCCCGATCACCCTGACAGGTTTGACTACTGGACTCAAGTCCTGTTCCAGCAGTGCTTGAGTAGCCGCTGTTACTGGGAGGTGGAGTGGGAAGGAAACTGGGCCGGGATCGGGGTGACCTACAAGGGCATCAGTCGTAAGGGTGTGCCAAACAACTGTGTGATAGGATACAATGGGATGTCTTGGGGTCTGCACTGTTCTGCTCATGGCTACGCAGCATATCATAATATCAAGAGTATTGCCATTTCAGTCCCTTCATCAGGTTGCCGTAGGGTGGCGGTGTATCTGGACTGGGTGGCTGGCATCTTGTCCTTCTACAGAGTCTCTCCTGGAAGATCACTGACACACCTTCACACCTTCTTCACCACATTCACTGAGCCTCTTTACCCAGGGTTTAGAGTCTGGGACTATGGCTCCTCTGTCACACTGTGTCAGCTGAAGTAGCTTTGTGTATCTTCAGCAAAGATGATGCTGGTAAAAACTTTAAAAACTTTATGTGTACGGAGCCTGTGTGTTTGTAAAATGTGGGGAGGTAGAACAGTTTAACAGGAGGGACTCGCATGCACTAACATGCAACATACACAGAAGGGGTGTGGCTTCGTTTTCTGCTTAGGATGTCATGACTAATCTTGTTTACAGAACGTTTTATAAACAAAACAAAAAAACTTAATTTTAACAGACAGTTGAGAAATTACATAACTCTAATAAAGTGGCTGTCTTTCAGTTTATAGTAGTATTGATAACTAAAAAACTTGTGATCCACCAGCTCTCAGCTGGGGGTGGATTAAGGTTTAGTTCTTTGTACACTGTACTGCAGAGGGAAGGGTTTTTATTTGTAGTGACCTTTTTGTTTGTTTACATTCTGTCTGTTCAGTTACAGCAGGTGGTGGTGGGGTTCACAATGTTTAAATGGGTATTTATTAGTGCCACGGGTGCTCAGCTCCGAGGCACGCCTCTACAGCTAGAATAGCTGAGAGAACGATGATCTACAACGTAGAAATGTGATTCAAACTATAAAACACCACAACTGTTTTTACATAACATGTAAACTTTTCAAACTATGAGCACTCAAAGGAGGAGTGGAAATCACTTTTCTTCAAAGTTAGAGTGACAGCGTCAGTTGGCTAGAGTGCGTGAAGCAGTAAAAAATAACCTTTATTTTTATTTTTAACTTGAGCTCACGGCCAAACCGTAAAAAGGAGACAAATAATTCTTTCTGAAAATGTAGACATAGTTGTTGGGATTCATAAAATGTAACTTTGACAGGCAGGGTCTGCACAAAATTTAAACGGGGGTGCCGAGTCCGGCAGCAATACCTGTCTCACTCTCATTGACACCTAATGAATCTCACTCTGTCTTCGCACTGAGCTTACTCACTCATTTTAAGGAATATTTGAATAAAATAGAGAATGTAGAAACTTCTGGTTTCAGTGTCTGTCACGGTCTTTTCGGTTTTTGAAAAGAAGTAACGGTTTTCCCATATTTTGCAATTGTTTGATCCCATGTAGAAGCCAAATTCTGGGCAGATTTTCACATTGCCATGGCAACGGCAGCTCCTGACCTGTGTGCGTGCGTGCGTGCGCCTAGCAACCAGATAACCAACTCTCCAAGCTCCGCTAGCTTTACATTAGCCGCATGTTAGGTCTTAAATTACATTTAGTTAGGTCTTAAATATGTAAGTCCATTTACTGCTTCCTTTGTTGCTTTTCTTTTTGTTTTGTTAAATGAGTGAATGAAGTTGTGACGGTCTCCGCTGAGACAGAGGAGAGGAGAAGCTACTAGCCCTCTCTCGCTGTCACTTCTAGTCGCGTTGCTCTCCTCCCCAGTAATGTTAAATTTAGCACCGAAAAAAACATAATAGTGGTAATTTAAATAGCGGTTCATGGGATTTATTAACCCTCAGGGGTCCCTCTGTCCTTTTTTGGACATTTTCTTCACTTTTCTTTTTTGATTAGCTGATCATTTTGGCTGTGTTACAGCTGAAGGTATGGATTTCTGCAAGAAAGTGTCTCTTTTTTGACATTTTTAAAATCTAATGTAATTTACTGTTACAGGTCTATTATACACTGGTAACACATTTTGTACCCTCTGGGGTTCCTCGCGTCCAAAAAGGACACACAAAGAAAATGCTATAAAATCATCATATATCAATATTTTTTTCTGCTTTTTTTTTTTTGCATACATCTCTTAAACCACTTCAGTTCTGCTCAAACCTACCAAATGTTTATTAGTTTTCAGGATTTTAACCCTTTAAATGCCAGTTTGAAGACATGTTGCCTCTTGTTTTTTTTTAAAAAAAAAACCAACACAGAATATGAGATATTTCCCACATAATACATGATGGAGGGATGTGACATTGTTTTATATCAGAGTCTTTTATATCAAGACATTTCTCAAAACCAGAATATGATCAGGGTGACTTTTGAACACTGGAAATAAATCATGTACTCATCCTGGCAGTAGCCCCCGTGGCACTCAAAATTTCCCTGGAATTTTCTAGTTATTATTATTATTGTTATTGTTATTGTTGGTGGTTATGCATGTATATTGCTGGGTTTATGAAAACCATGAATCATGAAATACTACTACTAATGACAATACTAATTGTTCAGAATTTTTTTTTCTCTTGCTATGTGTCCCTTATGAAGACTGAATGAATAATTACTTTGAACTTGATTGTCATAATAAATCACATTTAGGGCAAAATTGTGATTTGTAGTATTGAGGTATATAAATAAAATGGAATATGATTATTTTTCATCCAACCACGTCTGTCACGTCTTTCACTGTCATAACTAAACCAATTACATGATATCTATCTTGGAGACTATATACTGACCGCTAAACAGCACATTGTTTACTGTTGCCAAATGGCTGCAGGGAGCATGTGCTTCACGTTGTAGCTGTAAACGTCATGGTAACAGATGATGACGTGTGTGAGTTCTGATCACTCAATGACTGAACATAACGCGCTGCATTAAAAAAAAAAAACGGATCACATCAACATTTTAAACTGTAAACTGTTCCAGTCAGCATGTTTGGTTTAAAGTCACACAATAGTAGAAAAAGTTGGCAAAGTGTGACACTGAACTTGAATTAGGCGTTAATCATTCTAGGTTTAAAAACTCAGTCCGCCTTCACGGGCTTTTGAGGAGTTGGATTGCTGATTTAGCCCCAAGCACCCGTGGTTGTACAGACGCTTCTTATGTTATTCATTAACTATAACCAAGCGCATGTGTGCGTGTATGCACCTGCATTTATTTAATTCCTCTATTCGTGAGTTTTACCTGTTTACAAACGGACAATGTCGAAATCCACAATGAAAAATGTTATCTATTGTTTTTCAGTTACATGGAGTATGCAATGGAACATGCTTCATTTATCTATGTATCAATTTATTTATTAATTAATTCTGACTTTAAACCCAGAATTCTGAGAAAAATTCTAAAATAAATGAATAAATAATTTCTCACATGTGCCGTAATGTGGAAAAAAAAGTTCATTCACTTTAGGTTCAGGGAGGTTCATGTGTTGGTCTTTTGCCCTCGAGGCATTTTTCATCATGGCGCTTTTCCTCACTCTGACCAGCAGAGGTCTCTACCGAGCTCTGATTTTTAAAAGCTTCTAGTGAAGAAGTCTTTTCATTACAACTGTGTGGAAACATTCACTGGTTCGTAAAACTTATTTATTTTATTTATTATTTTATTTATTATAAAACTTAACTTCTTCGCCACTTCTTTTACAATTTGTAGGTCTGTGGGGTGAGAGAAATTACAGGCCAACGCACCAGTCACCCTCTTTAATCCTGCGCACCTGCAGGACACGATGAACTGCAGGAGAAAATTGAAGTCATTAACCAACTACTCTTGTGTTTTCTGTTAAGATGCATCAGTGACCCGGAGCGGAGGGAGGAAGTAAAGTGCTTTATTATTGTGTTTGTGCAGTGTCACGTGGTTAACGCGTCCTCCTCCGGACTGGTTCAAACCGACAGAAAGCAGCTGAGGTTCGGCTCTGGACCGGCACGGAGAAATAAAACCTCGGACCTGCACAGTGAGATTTGAACACACACTCAGCTGCACACATTTAACCCCGGTATGTCCACGATCTGTGTGCTGAGGGCTAGCTGCTTACTCCGGCAGGTCTTCCCCGGCCTGCGCGCCGCTATGCAGAGGCGCTACAGCCTAGATGTCACCGGTCCGCTGCTCCGGACGCAGGGTTACGTGGACGGCCGTTGGGTCTCCGCAGCCTCGGTGTTTCCCGTCCTGGACCCCGCCACCGGGCAGGAGATCGCCCGGGTGGCGGACTGTGGCCCGGCCGAGGCAAAGCAGGCTGTGGACGCTGCGTACAAGGCGTTTCACTCCTGGAAGCAGTACACGGCTAAGGTAGGCTGTGTTCACATCCGCCCTCTGCTTCTCCGCACCACATGCGGAAAACTGTCAAATGAATATCAATGTTGTAAATCCACTCAGGAAAACACGAAAAACAATGACACGGCGGACATTTTGTTAACAAGCAGGAGCCAGACTTTAATTCGGCTGAAACAAAATTCACAGAGAATCACACAGTTTAGATTAAAACACGACTTTCACTTTCGGATCTGATCTCAACGATTCACGGACCGTGCTGGTTGCGTTGGAGAAATGTTATTAGTCTGAACGTTTGTCCCTCTGTGGTTAACAATGCTCCGTTTGAAAAACCGTCAACCCGGGGGGGGGGGCACACTGTAAGAACATTAACTTTATGTGTTGAAATAAAATTGTGCTGTTGCACTAACCTGACTTGTTAGTGATTATTAGAGTGTTTCCTGTCCAGACATTTTCACACAGTTATTAACTTCATCAGTTAATTTTTCCTTCAGACCACAGAGACAAAGTTCGACTGTTGTTTGGTTCCTTAAAGGTAAAATCTGAAATATTAACAGCCACAGTAAAACAACACATTGACTGACAGGGTCTTAATAGGGGGAATAACACTAAACATTTCAGCTGCAATACTTAGCAATACTCCATTATTGATTATCATGTCAGAAAACAGTTGATTAATCAACAGAAAATTAATTGGTAACAATTTTGATAATGTGATAGTATCTATTACTTTATTTCAAATTGAATGTGCTGGAAAGCCTGAAGAATGACAGATGTGTAACTATCCAAATACTTTATCAACGTCTGTGCTGTGATGATAACATCAGGAAAACATCTGTTGATGTGATGGGGGTTCTCTGCAGGAGAGGAGCGTCCTGTTGAGGAAATGGTTCGACCTGCTGACGCTGCACAAAGAAGACCTGGCTAAACTGATCACATTCGAATGTGTGAGTATCATGTTCACCTTAATGACGCCTTGAAAACAGACTCACTACAACAGTTTGTGGACAACTGAACATTTCACCGTCTGTGACCGTTAAAGACGCGGCAGAACTGCTCAGCTCTGAAACCTGTAACTGGGGATGAAGGAGACAGATTCAAGTGTCAGAAAGTGTTGAAAATGGCCCCAATGAGGCATTCAGATGTTTTCAGTTTAGAAAGATATAAACAGAGAAATCTCTGATTTTAGAAGCACCAGGAAATGTTTACCATTTTACTTAAAAAAGGCCCTAAATGATAAATTGATTATCAACATAGTTCCCTACACTGACACTAAGCAGCACACCCAGTACATTAATGTTATGTGGAAAGGCCTGTCCGTTTAGTTTTGGCCAGCCAACCAAGCGTGTAGTTTTATGTGCTCAGGTTTCAGAGATCTGTCTCTCAGCATTTAGAAATAACATTTTAACAGCAGCATCTCTGTCACTGCAATCATCCACAGACAGGCGGTTTTAGCCGGAACTACTTTCTACTGAGGAAGTAGTTCTGGTGAAATCTGTGGACAGTGAAGTCTGTGGATTATTGTCTGTGTATCCTTTAAACATTAACGTTGGTGTGTAGTGGTGATGTTGGTGTGTGACGCGCTGTGAGCGTCTTCACGCTGACCCTGAATCTGTTTTCAGGGGAAGCCGCTGCGGGAGTCTCTCGGGGAGATCGCGTACTCGGCCTCCTTCCTGGAGTGGTTTTCAGAGGAGGCGCGGCGAGTTTATGGCGACATCGTCCCCTCACCCGCCAAGGACAGAAAGATCTTCCTCCTCAAACAGCCAGTGGGGGTCGCCTCCATCATCACACCGGTGAGTTTCCTGGCAGTGATGAATTGAAGACCACCAGGCTGAGTGCAGGTAAAGCTGCAGCGTCACTGTGTTGGTTAGGGTTAACCCTGTTGTCATGTTGTGTCACAGTGGAACTTCCCCAGCGCCATGATCACCAGGAAGGTGGGGGCCGCTCTGGCGGCCGGCTGCACGGTGGTGATCAAACCGGCGGAGGACACCCCGCTGTCGGCGCTGGCTCTGGCTGAGGTCGGTACAACTGTCAGTGCTGTACATGTTCTGTTGGACTCTGCCAAAGATTGTTTGTGAGTGATGACGCATAGCGCTGGAACATCTCTGTACGACCGCCGGTGCACCGTGTTTTTGTAGTTCAACGCGGAGGAGACTCTTCTCCAGAGAGACGATCAGCAGATCGCAGCTCGTTGGAGCTCGTTAAGATCAGAGTTCTGGATCAAGTAGTTTGTGAAGAGTCAGCTGTAAAAGTTCCAGCTGTTATTTCACTCAGCTCAGCTTCAGGGTGTCAACATTAATTAGCTTCATTAATGTTAATGTGGATTCATTTAGTAGTTGCAGTTGATTTTCATTTTATTGATAACTTTAGTTACTGACAAATGATGAAGATCAGTTGATCATCAAAAGAGGAAAAATGTTCCTTCTAACCAGAAGAGGGTTGTATCAGCTAACCACTGTTTTCATTATTGATCGATCTGCACATTTTTTTTTTTTGATGAATTCTTTAGAACTGTAAAAAAAAAAAAAGATGACCCTCACAATTTCCCAGAATTCACAGTGATGTCTTGAAGATGCTTGTTTTGATTGACCTTCTCTCTCAGACCCAAAGATTCACTTTGATCAGTTTTATCACATTAAACAAAGAAAAGCAGCTGAAAAATGACAGAAACCATTAATCAATTATCAAACTAGATGCTGATAAATTTTCTTTCAATCAACTTATTTTTGCAGCTCCAGTCATTCCTGATGACACTAGTATAAATGTTAACATGAGTGATATTATTTTACTTTGACAGGGAACGTGACTCTGAGCTGACGTGTGGTTCGATCACATGAAGCTCTACGTCACAATAAAAAACTTAAATCATGACGTTATTCTAAGGCTCCGACTCCAGAGCTCTCACTCACACACTTGATTCTCACATCATCAGTGTGATTTATGGACTGTCATAGTTTCCATTCATCAGTGTCTGATTTATATTTTGGAAATACAAGGACGACTCTGAGAAGAGGGCTAACGTGACCTGTGTGTGTGTGTGTGTGTGTGTGTGTGTGTGTGTGTGTGTGTGTGTGTGTGTGTGTGTGTGTGTGTGTGTGTTTGCAGCTGGCAGAACAGGCGGGGATCCCGGCAGGGGTGTTTAACGTGGTCCCTTGCTCCAGAGAGAAGACTCCGTCGGTCGGGGAGGTCCTCTGCACCGACCCCCTGGTAGCAAAAATCTCCTTCACTGGCTCCACCGCCACCGGCAAGGTCAGACATGAAGCCTCCCTCAGTCCTGGTCCAAGTGCTGTTCTCATTTTACAGTCTTTTTAAAGTCCAGAAGGGTCCAGTGTCTCACAATATGTCAAACGGTCCCAGTGATGCAGGACGCACATTGAACCTACAGTTCTCACGTGGTCACATGATTAACGTCCCAGTTTTCAGTTTGTTTTGATCTGGTCTGACAGAAACTGTCGAATCTGATCCGTTTCCTCTCAGGTGTTGCTGAAAATGGCCGCCGACACTGTGAAGAAGGCGTCCATGGAGCTCGGTGGCCACGCCCCCTTCATCGTGTTTGACAGTGCTGATGTCGACAAGGCGGTGGGCGGAGCCATGGCCTCCAAGTTCAGGAACTCTGGACAGGTAACAGAGACCCGGATGCAGTCGGCCTTGCTGCTAATTTTCCCCGCTGGCCTCGTCAGTGTTGCCAAGAGAAAATGGATTCAACTCCTGAGGAATCAAAAGTGCAACTAGTTCATTCTTCGCTTTTACATCCAGTTTATTAAAACCGAAGTTACAAAATTAAAATTACTGAAGTAACTAAAGTAACTAACGTTTACATTCCCCCCCACCCTCTGGCAGACTTGTGTGTGTTCGAACCGGTTTCTGGTTCAGGGCGGGATCTACGATCGCTTCATGGAGAGACTCGGCCGAGCGATGGACGCTGAGCTCCGTGTAGGTCACGGCTCGGATCCCGAGACCACCCAGGGGCCGCTCATCAACACCAGAGCTGCAGAGAAGGTGAACCCCCCCCCCCCCTGAAACATACAGGTGTCAGTGAGCTCATCAGCTTATGAAGGTCTCCCCGTCCCTCAGGTGGTCCAACAGATTTCAGATGCAGTGTCCCGGGGAGCGAAGGTGTTGAAGGGCGGGAAGCGTCTGGATGGGTCCTTTATGGAGCCGACTCTGCTGGCCGACGTCACCAAGGAGATGCTGTGCACCAAAGAGGAAACCTTTGGCCCGCTGCTGCCCGTCATCAGGTGTGTACGCCCACAGTCCACACAGTTCACACACCGTCCTGCTGCTCTAAACACTCACTACAGCACCAAATATGGATTCATCCGCTGCTGAAAATAGTCCCCATCAAATGTTGGTTTGATTAAAACTACACCGTCAGAGGAGGGAGGTGTTGAGAGACGGACTATTGATTAACACGTTGGTTTGGTTCTGCACATGGGATTGGTTAAATTATTAGATTAAATTTATCATATTTAGCCTTTAAACGTATCAGATCTTCATCCTTTATTTTTTGATGCATTTTTATCAGGAGGAAATAATAAATATCAAATTTATTTCACATTATCATTTCACAATGTCAGAAAGGAACAATATTTAAATTGTTACAACTAAAAAAAGTTGCAGCTACATTAAAACATCAAACAGGACATTCATGTTTATTATAAAAATGTTCCTGAAAGAGACTTTGACAGTGATGAGTTTGTTCATGTTTCTCATTGTGTCTGCATAAGCTGAAGAAAACTCTCATGCTAAACTTGAGGAAAATAAAAACATCAGCAGGTTGTATTTAGGTACTGAGGATGTCATCAACCAATCAGATCCTGTTTCTGTTTTCCAGGTTTAACACAGAAGATGAGGCTCTGGCCATCGCCAACGCCTCCAACGTTGGACTGGCAGGTGAGAATATCCCTCTGAGCTCCGGCAACTACAACACTGTAAAATGACAGAATATGAAACAGGTTTGGGCAAAAAAGTCAACGTATTGACTGTGATAGACCCAGGTACATACTGAATGTGAAACAGGGCAAATAAACCAAATAAAGACCTGGAGAACACGGCTCAGACCAGGGGGATGAGGGCCAGATACACCTGTGCTGGTTACTAATGTTCAGATCAGTCAGTCCACTCACAGATAATCAGGAAAACAAAGAGGATTCATTGATAGCAGCATTTCACCGCAACATGTCAGGTTTAATGAGTTTCCCTGAATCTTCAGTGGTTGAGACCTGAAGGACTGTGAAGGAGTGAACTTTCTTGCCAGATTAAATTAGTCAATTTAATTGTCTATTAAACAGTAGATTTGCAAAACTTGGATAAGAACATATTTTAGAAATATCCTAGAAAAATCCATCTGGTAGTCAACAGCAATGTTGAGCTAGACAGGAACGTTTCAGTCATTAAAACCTTATTTAACACAACTGATCAAGTCATTTATAATTAATATAGGCTGATACAGATCAATCAGAGTTTGCCTTCAGAGGACTGAGTCTTTGGACTGAAACAGGTCTTACTGACCCGTTATGACATATTTGATATATTCCTTTGTTCTGTTCTCAGACCAGTTTTGGAGTTTTATTAAACTCTGTGTCTTTGATCCTCAGGTTATTTCTACTCGCAGGATGTGAGTCAGATCTGGCGGGTGGCGGAGGCGTTGGAGACGGGAATAGTTGGAGTGAACGAGGGCCTGCTGTCCACCCCAGAGGCCACCTTTGGTGGGGTCAAACAGTCCGGGTTGGGCCGCGAGGGCTCCAAGTACGGCATCGATGAGTATCTGGACGTCAAGTACATGTGCTTTGGAGGCCTCAAGCCCTAAACCGGGACGGAGCAATGCCCCCATCCAGTGGTAACACACCACACTGTAAATGTACTGAAGTGGTTACAACTGTAGATGCAGCTACTGACTGATTTTAATGTTAACACACTTGACAAGAATAAAAATAAATAAGATGTTGGACATCTAAAGTATAAGAGGGCTTTTAATGATGATAATTACAAATTAAACCTACAATTTTAGTCTAGAAAACTGGTCAAATAACCTTCTACAAATGAACGTTTCACCGTCCCATCTGACATTCGTACTCATGTCAGATTTGTTTAGTTCATAAGCACAATAATAAAAATAACCATCATCCAGAGCCTGTGGATGATTCTCTGAGACCATTCAGAGTGAAACAGGGTCGTCGTATTTTCTCATGTTGCCTTTTCCTAAGAAGCTGTTCATGTGTAGAATAAGTATAATAATAATTTTCTCACCTGTGCTGGACAGCATCAGTTAGTCTATAATCATTATATTTTGATTATTTCTGATTGGCTAGATGACAGTCACTATCCACCAATCAAAACAAAAGGGTTTTGTGTTCATTGTTCACTGTTAAAGCGTAAACTCTTACAAACTTTGTCCACCTCTGAACAAATGTTATTTTACCACTCTAACCAGTAGGAGGAGCTGTAGCCTCCTGTCTTTGATGAGCCCCTCCCAGCTTGGTTACTGTTGCTATGCCTGTTGATCTTTGTGTTTTAGAACTGCTCCTGTGCTGGTTACCATGGTGATGAAAGCAGAGTTACAATCGAAAATCAGAAATACTTTAAACAGCGAGTCTTCTACACAAAAAACAGACTGAATTTTGCTAAGATGACAACTGTTGCTAGCAGATTTTAGCAGCTATAGCTAGCTAATTTGATGTAAGTTAGTAAGTTGAAAGGAAGCTTTGTCTCTGTCTCTCTGACTTTTTAATGTTTAATGAGCAAAAAGGTGTGAAATTTGCATTTTATATGGCTACATATCTACATATATTTAGTCCCACTAATGACTCAGACTGAGGCTAAAGCTAACGGGTTTAATGTAAAATGTCAGCCTCTTAATCAGCTGAAAATACATGTAGCAATGTTGCCTTTGTTTTGCTGTTAGAGCTAACTATCCCTGGTACATTATTCTAAGAAAAAATGTCTTGTCATGTTCTTCTCTAATTATTCAGATGTTTCCTATTTAAATGCATAATTTACTTGGATAAGAAAAACAAAGGTTAGATTTATGCTTTATTGTTCATTTTCAAGCAAAATTCTTTACTTTACAAGACAAGATTCAAGAATGGGGACAAAGTTGTCCCTGATAAACTTCTCTAAATTCAATAAAGACCAGGACAGAGCTGCTAACTTTAACCCAAACTCTGATACAGTGCATCCAGGACCAGGTCCCAAGCAGTTTCTAATGGAACCCATAACTCCACAGAATATATGTAGGAACATTGTGTTACCGCTGTAAGGTAATAAATTAGTTAGTCAGGCATGCTAACATTAGCAGCTTACATTAGTGCAGACAAACACACCGTTAAAGCCATTCTCTGTGCTATTGCTCTTTTATCTTTGGTTATCAGAAGGACGACTAAAAACAACTTTTAAACTCCAAAGCTTGACACTCCTGCTGCGCTAAGTTACAGTTGCTAAGATATGATTGGACAGTAACCGTTTGGGGAAGCGTTTAGCAAATTGTCAGTTTAGAATGTTGGAACGTTACAAAAAATAATGAACTTCCAGCCAATCAGCATCTAGTATTCTGTCACCATGGTAAAGAAACATCTAATCAACCTATTACTACTTTTTTTTTAATTTCACACAAGTGAACTTTTTGTAGTAGCACATAAATTTTGTTTAAATCAGAAAAGAAGCTGCACACTTGACTGTGGTAGAAAAGGCAAATTTACTGTGATACAACAAATTCAATAACTTATGCTAGATTTTTGTAAATTCATCGTGTTTATATTGAACATCCTGACACCCTGTTGTACGCCTGTTTATTGTAAAAACTATCATTTAAAATGGTGGAATATGCTTACATAATTGAAAACATTGAAACATGTTCAAAGTGGTTCTAAAAACATCATAATTAGGCCATTTTAATTATCCAAGACGTGCCAAATACAAGACTAACCAGTGTTATTAGTTGTGTATGGACATTCTTAGGAGTCTTTACATACATTTAAATCTGTTAGAGATCACTATTGCTAAAGAGTTTTCATAAATAAATATAAATATTGAATACATGCCCTAATGTGAGTGTTTGGAGAAACATGTTTGAACATGTCAAAAGTTAAAAGATGTCATTAATTGTAATATAGTGGTTTAATAAATACCTTGTTACTGTGTCAGTTGATGTTAATTTTAATCCTGGGCGTGTTTTGTCTAAACCTCCATTCCCTGACAAGTGCCATGTAACTGATTTTTATTTTATTTCATTACGAACCATTAATCTTGTACTTGAGTGATCCTAGAAAAAGATCAGTTGTGACATGATACACTGTCCACTGTTGTTCAGCATTAATTGTTCTGTTATTTGGGTTTGTACAGCAGATTGTGTTTCTAATATAAAATGTAATTTGTTTTAATTGTAATATAGTTTGTTGCAGTTAAAGTTAATGTAAAAAAAAAATCTAGATTTTTGTATTTCTGACTATATATATTAATGGGAAAATTTAAGAATTGCAATATTACATGCCGTCCAAGTGACTTTTGTATGGCAGGAAACTAGAGTTGATCTGAACTGGTACCAATAAAAATTATGGGCGTTATGTTTGAAGTTATTTTGTTTACATAAGACACTTCTTTTGGTTCACACAATATAAACAATATTATCATTTTAGACTGAGCATTATCAGTACTTTTATCAGTTGGTTTGTTTCTAAATGCTGCTGTTTGAGATGACCACAACCACAGACAATGAGCTTACATGACTTTAATTTAAGTCGGGGAAACATTCAAACTATTCAGAAGAGACCATGTGACATTGACCTTTCAACAAAAACCTCAAAACTGTCTGACTAGCTCCACCAGCTCCAAGTTCGGCATGTCTCTTTATACATTTATATTTCTACATTTGTTAAATATGCCTGTTACAACTTGCTAATCAGACTCTTAACTGTGCTAGGCTAGCTTCGAGACTTTGTGCTAAGCTAGGCTAAACACCAATAAATTCTCTCAGGTGAAGACACAAATGAATGTCTTTGCTTAGCAGAGGTCAGCACTGTAACTACTGGAAAAGTTTTGTCAGTAATAATTTGTTTAGATTTTAAATGGTTAAAATGAATCAATAAGCTTAGTTTGGATTTTGTTTTTAAGTCTGACAGCTTTCAGTTAGCATCTAGCTCCTAAGATTCAGCTTTTTTTTTAATTTTTTTTTTTTTTTAAGTTAGATTTCGGGGACACAATCAGAGTTATGTTAAAGTTAGCTTCTATGTCATCACCTCCAGTCCCTCTCATTGATAGACCAGTGTCTAGCTTGTTAGCTAACAAGATGCAACATGTAAATCAGAAAGAGTCTGCATTGTTAGAAGGTGGATATTTTCTCTATTGACTGTGCTGGGCGAGCAGTTTCCCCCTGCATCCAGTCATTGCCCTAGGCTAGGCTGATCCCGTCCTGGACCCATCTCTGTACGGAATGCTACTATCTTCTCATCTAGCTCTGGAGATTATGACTTTTGATGAGTTTTTGTCTTTGTCTTTCAGTGCAGGATTCAAAAATCATCCCATTCCAAAGTGTCCTCTAAATATCGCATCATTTTGCAAAAGTTTGGATGTTCCCACCTGTACATCCTGTTTAAGGAGAGGTAAGTTTGTCCTCCTGGCCTTTAGTCCTCATGTCCTTCAAAAGAGTCTGACCCTGAAACTCATGGCACAGGTTGAAGTCCTTTAACCTTTAAGAAGCCTTATCTCTCCCTGCCACTTGTGGCTGCCAGAGTGCAAACATCCCAGATGGGTCCATTCTATGTTACCAGGAGGTCAGTTTTCCCATCATCCAAAGGCATTTCCATTGCGGGCGGCCTGGGCGTTGAGCCGGTTCCTGCTGCGTATGGGTCGGTCCCGACTGAAAATGGTGTCCTGATCGCTGTCCAGCTCCGACTCCGACATCATCAGGCTGGAGTTATGCTCTGTGCTGCGGTGTTTGATGCCTGCAAAGAGGAAGTGTTAAATTCTGAAAATACTACACACATACTGTCATACTTCTGTGCTTTTGATCTGAAGTTCTATTTTAGTCATAGTATAGTAAGGCATAAAATCTAAAAGTATAATAAAGCATAGAATGTCAAGTAAATGTCATAGTATAAAAGTAAGTATAATAAGGCATAAAAACGTCATAGTATTTCAAGGCATACAAAGTCATAAAATTGTCATAGTATAGAAAAGTATAAGAAGTCATAAAATCGTTATAGTATAATAACTATAAAAAGTCACAAAAACGTCATAGTATACTAAAGTGCAAGTATAGTAAGGCATAAAAAGTTTCAATAAAGTCACAGTATAATAAGTCATAAAAAGTCATAAAATCGTGTAAGAAATCATACAACGTCAGTATAATAGGGCATAAAAATGAAAAAAAACTTCATAGAAAAGTGAGGCATGAAAATGTTGAAAAATGTCATAGTATAGTAAGGCATAAAAACGCCATAAAACCATAAATAAATGTAAGTGAGGTAAGGCATAAAAAGGTCAAAAAATGTCATAGTAAAGCATTAAAACTTTGTACTATACTAAGGCATGAAAAAGTCATAGCATAGTACGGCGTAAAGTAAAGAAAAATATCATAGTATAAGAGATATAAAAATGTCATAATATCGGAATAGTATAATAAGGTATAAAAGTCATAAAAACTCATAAAAAGTCATAGTATAGTAAGGCATAACGAGTTGTAAGGACGTCATAGTATAACAAGGCTTGAAAATGTCATAGTATAACAAGGCTTGAAAATGTCATATTATAGTAAGGCATAAAAACGTCATAGTATTGGAAGGCATAGAAAGTCATAAAATCGCCATAGTATAGAAAAGTATAAAAAGTCATAAAAAAATTATAGAATAATAACCATAAAAAGTCATAAAAAAACGTCATAGTATAGTCAGGTATAAAGAGTCATAAAATCATCACGGTATAGTGAAGCACAAAAAGTCATGAACTCATCATAGTATAATAAGGCATTAAAACGTTGTAGTATAATAGGGCACAAAAACGTCAAAAAACATTATAGTAATGCATAAAAATGTCATAGTACAGATAGGCATGAAATGACATAAAAATGTTGACCCTCCACCTGGGCACAAGGTGTCCCTGTTCCTTTTTTTTGTTTCCCTTCTCAGGTGCTAAATGGAGGGATCAGGATCAACCTGAGGTGCTACACATGGGCCTGGTGCACATCATAAAGGCGTCCCCATTCATTCATGTCGCTCTCTCTGGCTGCACACTTTGTTCAACCTCTGGATGTCGGTGTTGTCAGTGATGCTGCGTTCTTAGCAGACCTGATGGCAACTGTGGCCTTTCTTGTGTTAATTGCTTTTTAGTTATTTTTCGGCCTAAATCTCAATTTGCTTTGTGTGAATAAATGAAATGAAATGAAATAATAATATGAAAAAAATTGTTATAGTATAGTAAGGCATAAAAATAAAAAAACGTCATAGTATGGCATAAAAATAAAAAAACGTCATAGTATGGAATAAAAATGAAAAAAAAAGTCATAGTATAGTAAGGCAAAAAAAGTCATAGTATAATATGGCATGAAAATGAATAAAAAACGTCTTAGTACAGTAAGGCATAAAAATAAAAATAAAAACGTCATAGTATGGCATAAAAATGAAAAAGAACGTCATAGTATAGTAAGGCAGAAAAAAGTCACAGTATAGTAAGGCATAAAAATGAAAAAAAGTCATAGTATAGTGAGGCAAAAAAAGTCACAGTATAGTAAGGGATAAAAATGAAAAAAAAACGTCATAGTATAATATGGCAAAAAAATGAAAAAAAAGTCATAGTATAGTATGGCATAAAAATTAAAAAAAACGTCATAGTATAGTAAGGCAAAAAAAGTGACAGTATAGTAAGGCATAAAAATGAAAAAAAAATTCATAGTATAGTATGGTATGAAAATGAAAAAAAAAGTCATAGTATAGTATGGCATAAAAATGAAAAAAAAACGTCATAGTATAATATGGCATAAAAATGAATAAAAACGTTATAATATAGTAAGGCAAAAAAAAGTCACAGTATAGTAAGGCATAAAAATAAAAAAAGTCATAGTATAGTATGGCATGAAAATGAAAAAAAAGTCATTGTATAGTATGGCATAAAAATGAATAAAAACGTTATAATATAGTAAGGCAAAAAAAAGTCACAGGAAAGTAAGGGATAAAAATGAAAAAAAAGTCATTGTATAGTATGGCATAAAAATGAATAAAAACGTTATAATATAGTAAGGCAAAAAAAAGTCACAGGAAAGTAAGGGATAAAAATGAAAAAAAAGTCATTGTATAGTATGGCATAAAAATGAATAAAAACGTTATAATATAGTAAGGCAAAAAAAAGTCACAGGAAAGTAAGGGATAAAAATGAAAAAAAAGTCATTGTATAGTATGGCATAAAAATGAATAAAAACGTTATAATATAGTAAGGCAAAAAAAAGTCACAGGAAAGTAAGGGATAAAAATGAAAAAAAAGTCATTGTATAGTATGGCATAAAAATGAATAAAAACGTTATAATATAGTAAGGCAAAAAAAAGTCACAGGAAAGTAAGGGATAAAAATGAAAAAAAAGTCATTGTATAGTATGGCATAAAAATGAAAAAAAACGTCATAGTATAATATGGCAAAAAAATGAAAAAAAAGTCATTGTATAGTATGGCATAAAAATGAAAAAAAGGTCATAGTACAGTAAGGCAAAAAAATGTCACAGTATAGTAAGGCATAAAAATGAAAAAAAGTCATAGTATAGTATGGCATAAAAATGAAAAAAAGGTCATAGTACAGTAAGGCAAGAAAAAGTCACAGTATAGTAAGGCATAAAAATGAAAAAAAGTCATAGTATAGTATGGCATAAAAATGAAAAAAAGGTCATAGTACAGTAAGGCAAGAAAAAGTCACAGTATAGTAAGGCATAAAAATGAAAAAAAGTCATAGTATAGTATGGCATAAAAATGAAAAAAAGGTCATAGTACAGTAAGGCAAGAAAAAGTCACAGTATAGTAAGGCATAAAAATGAAAAAAAGTCATAGTATAGTATGGCATAAAAATGAAAAAAAGGTCATAGTACAGTAAGGCAAGAAAAAGTCACAGTATAGTAAGGCATAAAAATGAAAAAAAGTCATAGTATAGTATGGCATAAAAATGAAAAAAAGGTCATAGTACAGTAAGGCAAGAAAAAGTCACAGTATAGTAAGGCATAAAAATGAAAAAAAGTCATAGTATAGTATGGCATAAAAATGAAAAAAAGGTCATAGTACAGTAAGGCAAGAAAAAGTCACAGTATAGTAAGGCATAAAAATGAAAAAAAGTCATAGTATAGTATGGCATAAAAATGAAAAAAAGGTCATAGTACAGTAAGGCAAGAAAAAGTCACAGTATAGTAAGGCATAAAAATGAAAAAAAGTCATAGTATAGTATGGCATAAAAATGAAAAAAAGGTCATAGTACAGTAAGGCAAGAAAAAGTCACAGTATAGTAAGGCATAAAAATGAAAAAAAGTCATAGTATAGTATGGCATAAAAATGAAAAAAAGGTCATAGTACAGTAAGGCAAGAAAAAGTCACAGTATAGTAAGGCATAAAAATGAAAAAAAGTCATAGTATAGTATGGCATAAAAATGAAAAAAAGGTCATAGTACAGTAAGGCAAGAAAAAGTCACAGTATAGTAAGGCATAAAAATGAAAAAAAGTCATAGTATAGTATGGCATAAAAATGAAAAAAAGGTCATAGTACAGTAAGGCAAGAAAAAGTCACAGTATAGTAAGGCATAAAAATGAAAAAAAGTCATAGTATAGTATGGCATAAAAATGAAAAAAAACGTCATAGTATAGTAAGGCAAAAAAAGGTCACAGGATAGTAAGGCATAAAAATGAAAAAAAAGTCATAATATAGTATGGCATGAAAATGAAAAAAAAGTCACAGTATAGTAAGGCATAAAAATGAAAAAAAACATCATAGTATAGTATAGCATAAAAATGAAAAAAAAGTCATATTATAGTATGGCATGAAAATGAAAAAGAATGTCATAGTATAGTATGGCATGAAAATGAAAAAGAACGTCATAGTATAGTATGGAATCAAAATGAAAAAAAAAACGTCATAGTATAGTATGGCATAAAAATAAAAAAAAATGTCATAGTATTGTAAGGCAAAAAAAAGTCGCAGGATAGTAAGGCGTAAAAATGAAAAAAAGGTCATAGTATAGTATGGCATAAAAATGAAAAAAAAACGTCATAGTATAGTATGGTGTTACGGCTGTGGCCGTATTCTGGGGACCTTTTTCTCTTCCTGTGTGTGGTTGTGTTGTGTTCTGTCTCGGTCGCCTGTCTTTGCCTTCTGACCCTGCGGGAGGGGANTGAAAAAAAAGTCATAATATAGTATGGCATGAAAATGAAAAAAAAGTCACAGTATAGTAAGGCATAAAAATGAAAAAAAACATCATAGTATAGTATAGCATAAAAATGAAAAAAAAGTCATATTATAGTATGGCATGAAAATGAAAAAGAATGTCATAGTATAGTATGGCATGAAAATGAAAAAGAACGTCATAGTATAGTATGGAATCAAAATGAAAAAAAAAACGTCATAGTATAGTATGGCATAAAAATAAAAAAAAATGTCATAGTATTGTAAGGCAAAAAAAAGTCGCAGGATAGTAAGGCGTAAAAATGAAAAAAAGGTCATAGTATAGTATGGCATAAAAATGAAAAAAAAACGTCATAGTATAGTATGGTGTTACGGCTGTGGCCGTATTCTGGGGACCTTTTTCTCTTCCTGTGTGTGGTTGTGTTGTGTTCTGTCTCGGTCGCCTGTCTTTGCCTTCTGACCCTGCGGGAGGGGATGCCCGTGACGTCACCGGGATTTCCTGGCAGTGCTCCGCCTTTTCGCCGCACCTTCGATGCTCCAGCTGCAAGCCATCTCTCCTGATCAGCTGGGCCCGCCTCTC